ATATTTGCAGCCTTTAGCAACTCGACATGGCAATTTAATTGTGTCAGCCAACATCTATGGACACAAAAATGTGATATATAAGAAAAAGAAACATCGAAAAAAGATCTTGTGACATATGATTTTTTTAATGGCAGGAGTATGTACATAAATTCAAGCAATCATTTCAAGAGAGCTTGCAAAGAACAAAGGATAGTAAAAGATAAGTAAATGAACCATATGATATTTTTTTTAGATGATGCGTTATGTTTCCAGTTTAGTCACATGACAAAGTTATCTTAAGAAGAAGTTTATTTTCATTTAGCATATGAAATAAATACGTGCAATCAAACATCAAAGCATTAAAAGCTAGTACGAGACTAGCAAATGAAGCATATGATACCTGTTAAGATGACAAGCTATGTTTCCGATTTAGTTACACAACAAAATTAGCTTGCTTAGAAATTTAATATCAGATCTTTCAGAAAGAATGATTCAATAAGAATATTAGGGAAAAAATACATTCAAAAATTACCTTAAAAAGCAATGCACGGTGCCTACAGAGACCAGCAGATAGCTTTCCAATTGGAAGCACAACAGAGCCTGAACTAGCCTTGAGAGCCTCGCTGCATTCTTTCCAGCGATGAAGAAGACCATCTTCTTCATTAAAAGCTGTACCCCTAGTGAGGAAAATGCAAACATAATTACTGAAGAAACAGGATGAAACTATTCATCACACATGTACAGACTGCTGAGAATAACTTACCCCATACAGGTGCAGACAAGCTTTGCTAACTGTTCCACCATATCTTTTGGCGTATTACAGGTACATGAAATTCCAGCTACCAGGCTTTGCAACTGCCTTAGATCAGGGTCATACTGTCTATCTATAAGAGCCACTTCGATTGATGAATCACTGGGGTGAACAGTCTTCAAAGACTCAATTGACGGAATCCGATTCTCTTCACCCACATCAGCACATAGAGTCCATACAAATGGATCCATTCCCTGAATCAGGTAAAAGCCATCTGGAATCTTGTCATGATATGACAGACATCCATTTACCTGGTGAAGATAACAAAAAAACAATTGTTTAGAGCTCCATAAATATATCTACATTGACAGAATTAAAGAGTTTTCAGATGTGAGACACAATGTAAGAAAGTTAGAGACAAATGAGAACAACAAGTTATTCTTGCTAAGTGTTTACAACGTCCAAAGGTACTTTTGCAGAAGGAAACAAAACTTAAAGCTGGGTCATTAATACAATGATGCAGAATAAAAGTTTCAAACAACGTTACAGCAACAACTGGTAAAGAAACCATGTGAATCATGTTAATATTTCAAGTACAAGTCCAAGTATTTGCTCAGAATAGTCATTAAAAAAACTAGAAACTATATTTTGGTTTGTTTTATCACTTGGAAAGAAAGTTCTGAGCAAAAAGGATTACTTTCAGCAACAGAACAACTACAGAAGGATAAAGCCAAATATTATTAAATATATTGTTTCCAAGGTTGAGCAAGAGTATGCAACAGCAGCCCCTAGAAGCTAATAGCTTGTGGGTTTCTACCTGTACCAAATATTCAAAGAAGAGACAGCATATATAGAACAGAAATTGTAAAATGTGGGAGGTGAAGATGTAGAAACAGTGCATAAATATTTTCATGAAGAAACAAATGAGATGATATCACCAATTAATTACCCTTACGGCAAAGCTTCCTGGCCTCTCACAATCAGTGATTGTGACGATGTGCTAAGCTTTCTTGACTATTCATTTCTACTGAGCACTGTTGTGAAAGCTAACTTGAAACTAAGAACAAAGAGAACCATCCATCTACCTGGGCACGGATTCCAGTTGGAGCATTCCATGGAATCCACACAATCTTTCTTGATTATGTTAGCTCATTCATTCCAACTGAACAGACATTTAGGCAATTGTTACCCACAAATTTCCTTTCTTATAGAATGACAACCATACTTGAGTAATGTCACACGATGTCATCCAATGATGACTCAAGCATGAAACTAAATAACATGCCAAGAGTAATTTAATAACTTGAGTAAGGTCTAGTGAAATCTAGGCATATAAATGGATTGGTAACATGTTCATACAAATAATATCAATCCAAGTCAATAAGGCAACTCAGCAGCCCTGTCCTGTATGATCCAATTATCTATTGGATCAAGAAATCATTGACCATGACTGTTAAAAAGTAGGAGCTCCACTTCAATAATCCAACCATTTCCTCAGAACATTATTTCTTGATCAAGCAACGGATATAGTGTTTGGCAAAGATGGATTTACATGTATGCATAAGTTATATAATATAAAAAGAAAATTACATTGTCATGAGAGCACTGAATAGGGGTGAATTAACATTGATCCATTTACCAACCAGGATACTCACATAGGGTTACAAAACAGTTTAGAACATACCAAGAATATAAGATCCTAATCAGATAGGAACACAAGCTTAATTGTGCTGATTAACCAGCTAAACAGAGATGCTCAAGTTGATCCACAACTAAGATGTCTAGAGTTTGCATCAGATGGGAGAGTTCTAATTGGTGCTCAAGACACCAGCAGAGACATTCGTGCCATGAAAATCTCATTTGTGAAACAGTACCTAGCATCCAAGTCTGTCAAAAGGGAGTTCTCCCCCCTCTTATTACTTGATTAATTTGCATGCTTAATCTTCTTCAGTTCTTCTGAGGGATGTACTTCAATCACATAATAGATGACAAACCATAGTGGGTAACATGAACATCAAACCTCTAAGGTCTTAGTGTCATACCTTGACATTTATTTCGCCTCCTCTAGATACCCAATCTTTAACACTCCTAGTACACTATTAAACTTTCTTATAAGGTATGCTTTTATTGGATCTTTCACCAGCATATGCCTGAAACTTTACCCTTTGATCTTAGACCAACTGGACACTAAGCTCCACATATTTGGCTCCCCACATAAAGATTCTGCTAGCACATGTTATTGTCATCGTTTCCATATCTGGACATGCCTCGATTGCGTGGATTTACGGGAAAATAAGAGCTTCAGCTGGGTTTAAAGTGAAAATAAGTAACAGGGATAAATCAAACAGCTGCCCAACAAAGGAATAGCAAAGAGATGAGGCAACTATCTCCTAACCCAGAACCGATGGGACATGGATGCTGGCGCGGCGCGCTCCGGCAGCACCATCTGGTCCACGGCGTCCAAGAAATTGGGGTCGTCTGCGCACGCAGCCTCGGAACAGAGCCGGAGCGCCAGGGCGAGCTGGAGCTGGTACGTCTCCTCGGCCTGCTGCGCCCAGCTCTTGGCCGACGAGGAGGACGGCCCGACGGCGGCCGCTTCCGCCGCGGCGGCGCCGTCCTTAGACCGCCCCTCTCCGCCCGCGGCCGCCATGGGGTTGAAGGCGTCCGAGTCGACGGTCGCGGAAGCGAGGGTGGTGGGCATGTAATAGTCCCCGGAGAGGGAGCTGCCCCCGTAGCTGCTCCCGCTGGACTGCCGCTGCAAGTGCGTCATGGCAGAGGGCACGGCGGGGGCCATCGGCCAGTCGAAGGGGGAGGGGGAGGGGCGGGGGCGGGCTTTGTCGGACGGTGGCGATTCGAACTTGGGGAGCGGAGCGTCGTCGGGGGACTGGCCGAGGAGGGAGTAGCTCGATCGCCTCCCGGGCATTTCCATTCCCCGAGGAGGGCAAAAGGACGAAAGAAATGGGGAACGGGAGGGTAATAAGATCAGGATTGAGGAGGACGTTGGAGTTCCATGGATCGTGAGATGGACGGGATGAGTCGATCCATCCATGCTTTTTATCTTCGTCTTTACTTGGAAGCGAGCGACGGGAGGTGTGCGACGCTGACTGAGCGTGGACCCCACAGCGGGGAACCGCAGAGCGTGGCGGATATGCGTGGGCGGTTCCCACAGGTTGTTTTCCTGGGGCCCATTCCGCCCGGAGCCCAATCGTGAGAATATTACCCGAGAACAACCCTTTTCCTACCCGTCGGAATACCTGTCTTGTGGTTGGGGTATTGCTTGTGGGCCCCGCTCGGTCCAGGTGTTCGTTGAAGCTCAGTGCACGATCCGAGGCACGACTTAAGTCAGACACCTATAATTTTGTGCAAAAAACAAACCAAGGTAACGACGCTGCTCCACGTCACCCGTTTGATTTGTTTGGATCAAGTACTATAATTCGAGATGCGTGCAGTGACCTGATCGGGACAGGTGGACGGTGATATTAACTGCACAACCTCTCCTCCAAAACAGTGAAAGGCAATCTGATACGACTCTATCAGAAAAGTCACCCACCCGACCATTTCGAGAGTTAGCACAAGGAACCACGAGTGGACCCCACACGAATCATGAGTCTCAACCCAATCATCCAACGGGTAGCTTAACCCCATTCAGCCGGAGGGGTGACAACAAAAGAGCATATTATATTAAAATCTTTCCCTTCCTCTTCAATGATTTTGACACTGCAGGAAGCATCTTTATATATAAAGATAATAATAACAATAATAATATTAATATATTATTATTATTAATGAAGTTGTAGGTCATATGACTCTGGACCAGACTAAACTGATATATGCATGTGCATGTCCCCCAATTCATTTTATTGCAGAATTATATTTTATATATATATATATATATATATGTACTTTTGGATCACTGTTTAATTGATGGAGGGAGGTTTATTTGTTGCAGCCACCTGTGGGAGGCCAAGGACAGAATTCTTCATTGAGGGTATGGAGTCCTGTGCATGACTCTTAATTAATAAAGCTGACACCTCATGATGACTGCAACTCTGTCCCAAATACATTCGTTTAGTTCCTTAAAATAGATCCTATTGAGTTGTTGATCATGGATTTGAGACTTTGGAGTGGTTGGTGGTGGCTTAGGTGCCTTCCTTTTTCTTTAGGAGAGTTGTGCTGCCCTCAAACTTAAATTTGATGCTCTCAAGTAGGATAGAACTTATATTATAGATTTAAGTCTCCAAATCCTGTTGCTTAGGTAGGTAGTCACAGAAATAATATATGAAAGCAAGCAAGGAATCTACAACTTGATTAGATCTATAATGTGATAAATGTGAGGTGAGGATATCAATTTCGAGATCTTATTGGCAAAATGTATTCTCCTTCCTTCTGTAGCTCAGCCTTTGATGAGCAGAAGAGAAGGTAAGAGATGGCAGGTTGTTCTTCCCTCAGCCTTTCGTGATCCCTGATTATGTGACTCTTATTGTGGACGTTGCTTCTTAGGCCATAGATTTGCTCGTCTTCTCCATGCATACACTGGTTGGAGCTGCAGAAGTATCGTCAGGCTGAGATCTCCAACCCTATGAGAGATCTCGTTGGTTGCTTCGCTAACCAAGCCGTCAGAGTTGCAGAAGCCACATGCGCCACAAGGGACGCAAGCTCGGCGGTGACCGAACTCCCGATCCAGAATGCCATCACCTGCTTCTACAGGAGCTTGTTGTCGTCCCGGAAGGAGCTGCTCACCGCGGTCACCTGGTCCAGGAATCAAGCAGGCGCGTCCCTCTCCGTCACGGTCGAGGACGGCTCCTCCGCGAGCTCCAAGCTCCTGCGGAAGAAGAAAGGCAGCCTCTCGTTCGCATCCGGCGGCGGCTCCGACATCGCCCTCCACTGGGACGTCTCCGCCGCCACCTACGCGTCGGGACCCGAACCCACCAAGGATTTCTACGTCGTGGTGGTCGCCGACGCCGAGCTCGGTCTGTTGCTGGGCGACAGGTGGGGGGAGTTCGTCAAGAAGCTCGACGGCGGTCTCCCGGTCGCGGAGTTCCGGATGGTGGGCAGGACAGAGCAAGTGCGTGGCCCCGGCGCTTACTCCACCAGGGCTCAGCTCGGCGACGGTGGGGAGGAGCACGAGATAGAGATCGTGTGCAGAGGAGACGAGAGGGACGCCGAGGGCTCGGAGCTGCACGTCGCCATCGACAAGGAGAGACTGGTCAGCGTGGAGAGGCTGCAGTGGAACTTCAGGGGGAGCAAGACGATACTGGTGGACGGATCGACCGTCGACGTGATGTGGGACATGCACGACTGGTGGTTCTCCGGCGCCTCCCCCTGCGCTCTCTTCGTGTTTCGGAGGAGGAACTCCATGGGGGACCGCAGGGTGTGGCCGGATGAGGAATCGGCGCTGGGCATCTCTGGCTTCTCTCTGCTGATCCAAGCCTTCAAGAGTCTGTAGTTAAGCATCTTGTGCTCATCTGCTCTTTCTTCCCATCGTTCCCTGAGCATTCCTGTTGGAGCTCTGAGCTTTGGATCACTCGGAAGAAACATGCAATCTCACAGAAACATGGGGCGTGTGCATGACATGTCATTCCCGTCATATGATCCGTGAATCGTGTCGGTAAAATACTTTTCTTATGATTCGCAAATTTAATCATATACATGTATATATATACATATATATGTATATACATATGTATATAGATATATATATATATAGCTTCGCGAAGTACTCCATGCAACAAAAATTAAGAGCAGCTTTAGTTGCGGTTACTCCGGTTCACTCCATGTCCGAAATATGTGGGGCCCACGAAACGGGCCTAGGTCCGCAAGGTACAAAACCGTGTTCGCTTCTTTGGCTTGGTCGATACGGCTGTGTGAAGGTCCCCTCATTTGGGACCGCAGCTCATCATCTCCCACCTTGATCAAGTCAACCTCTGTCGACAGCTAATTGGATCTATTAAGCGACGGGTGAATCACCCACGAAAATTTTTCAGGACGATGTGGTGTCTCGTAACGTGACGTGTGAGTTCTGCAGCGACCAAATGGTTCGTTCAGGGGTGACTCCGTCCCAAAAACCAGCAGGGTTAGACAACTCGCCGACGAAGATAAGCCGGACCGCGCCAGATGTCACGTGTCTTGGGCGTGCGATTCCCCTCGGTAACGATGCTGAGCGGTGAAAGCCAACGGTGGAGAGGACCGACACTTGGCACGGCAAGAGCAGGCTCGCCGCGTCGCGACAGCCACGTGACCCACTAGCACCCGCCCGCATTCTGGAACCTTCCCCTCCCCAACCCTTTCGCCCTCCTATATTTCGATGCTCCCCCATCTTGCCCTCGGTCCGCTTCTCTCTCGACTTTTCTCCCCGTCGTCGTCGTCGTCGTCGTCGTCATCTGATCACGCGAAGATGTCGGCTTACTGCGGAAAGTACCACGGTAAGCGATCTCTTGTTCCATCTGCTCTCCTTTCTTAGTTGTTTAAACAGATACGAATCTTTTAGAAAGGCTTTTGATAGATTTCTTGGATGTGCTGATTCCCCTTAATTTACAGATCAAGTCTCATATATCTGTTCTTTGATTGTTGTTTCGCTACTAATTGTTGTTCGTCTGGATTTAGTTAACGAAGAAAATTTGATGGAAATTTGAGGAATCTTTGATCATGAGCTGTATGGTGATGTGTTCTTAAGATTTTCCATTTCCATTCTTGCTGATGCTACCCGCTAGCACTGTAGGTTACTCATGATATCATTGTTTCCCGTCACTTTCTTATATCAGCAAGTATTTGAGGTTCACGATTGTCATGCATGTTTAGATATACATCGCAATCCACCTTCATCAGTGACGATGCATGTGACTTTTTTACATTCATCCGTGACACAGTACTTTACAACTTTAGGATTTTGGTCTCGCTTTAAATCTTAGCCCACGAGATTTTCCATCCAAGTTGCTCTCTCTAGATGACATTTGAATGATCTGCTCCTCAAAGGTGTTTATCACAAGATAGGGAAGTCTACCTTCTGTAACTACTTTGGTAGCCTGTAATGTTACTATCATTGAAAGTTCACATCTGGAACTGCTTTGGTAGCCTCTAATTATTGTGCATCAGTTAGGACCTGACCAAATAATTTCGTCCCAAGTTTTATAGTTCTTAATCCTTGACTATTGCGTTTTATTCTCTCAATTCCAATCATTTTTTGTTGTTTTAAGCTTTAGTTCACTGTGTATCTTCGGTAGCACCAATTAATTTGAATTATTTATTTATTATTAACCTCACTGCATTCTTCGTTTTCTCTTTGGTCTTTCTGATCTCTAGAATTTCTTCTTTAATTGATTCATCCAAATTTAATCTACAACTAGGGTGCTTATAGTATAACACTAATAAATGAAAAATTGCAGTATAACACTCGTAGGCGTATAATCATGTTTCAACTGTATTTTCCTTAAGTGTTTTGTGGGCATATTTCCATTTTAAAGGTTATCCTCACAAAATTTTTGCAATATCTACTTGGATGTGGTGTTACATTTGAGAAGGTTGTGTTTAAATAGGCATAAACACATGGACTTGCAATCCTTCCTGAAGTTAATGGTAGGATGCATGCCAAGATGCAGCCTTGTTTTCTACTAGTGCAAACCCCACAGAAAAAGTTTTGAGTAGTGTTTAGTTCGTATCCCAATTCTGTTTACGACCAGTTTCTCTAGCTTTGTGCAGTGCCATACTAGAATCCAGCAGCTCTTCCCAGTAGTGGCAATGATGAAGTGAGTTTTAGGGATCAAACTATGATACCTGGGTTATAGCCTTTGAGAATTTTCCTCTATGGATTATCCAAAGAAAAACCTGTGGTCATTACCTCTGTTGACTGTGAAAAGTTGCAGTTTCTTTATAGTTAAGACAAAATTCGCACTTGGAAGTTTTCAATGTGCCTATCATCTACGAGCCTCGCCTTCTGAGTTAGTGGTGAAGTTTGTAATCATATATTCAATGAGATGAGCTGCTTCTCAACGATTGACTGTAAAGTGACGCTTCCCACTTTAAGAGCTACAATGCCAGTCTGTTGATTTCAGTATTTCTATTTCCTTAATTGAGTTAGCTGGTTGATCGCGTTTTTCTTCTTGAAGTGTGATAACTTGGTGCGTTATGAACACCCTGTTTGGCAATAGCTTACTCTTTTGTAGAATTTGATTCTAATATTCAGAAAGTTCCAGCAAAGATAGCAAGTTTTAGAAAGTAATTTGAGGATGCCCGTTCTGAAAATTTGATAGAATGAATTGGTAATTTGAGGATTTTGGAACATTCATATGCAATGCATCACCTTTTATTTGTTTCTTTTATTGCTTGATCGAGATGCACCGTCTAGGACTTCTTTTTAAGTGTTTGTCATTTTTTGTTCTTTTTACCTCGTGTGGATCCTAGCTACTGTCTAATTAAGTCCATCTCGTGTTTTTATGCAGATGAACTCATCAAGAATGCTGCCTACATTGGCACGCCGGGAAAGGGAATTCTTGCAGCTGATGAATCTACTGGTACAATAGGCAAGCGTCTGGCCAGCATCAATGTTGAAAATGTCGAAGCCAACCGTCGAGCACTACGTGAGCTTCTCTTCTGCACCCCTGGTGCCCTCCAGTGCCTCAGCGGTGTGATTCTCTTTGAAGAGACCTTGTACCAGAAGACTGCTGACGGAAAGCCATTTGTCGAGGTCCTGAAGGAAGGAGGTGTCCTCCCTGGCATCAAGGTGGACAAGGGCACCGTGGAACTTGCTGGCACCAATGGTGAGACCACCACTCAAGGGCACGATGACCTCGGCAAGCGCTGTGCCAAATACTACGAGGCAGGTGCTCGATTTGCCAAGTGGCGAGCTGTCCTCAAGATTGCCCCTAACGAGCCATCCCAGCTTGCGATCAATGAGAACGCAAATGGTCTTGCTCGATATGCCATCATATGCCAGGAGAATGGCCTGGTTCCTATTGTGGAGCCAGAGATCCTCGTCGACGGCCCTCATGATATCAATCGTTGCGCCCAAGTGACAGAGAGGGTGCTCGCTGCCTGCTACAAGGCACTAAATGATCACCATGTGCTTCTGGAAGGGTCGCTGTTGAAGCCCAACATGGTGACTCCAGGGTCAGACTCACCCAAGGTGGCACCGGAGGTCGTTGCAGAGTACACCGTGCGAGCCCTGCTGAGGACCGTCCCCGCGGCCGTGCCGGCCATTGTGTTTCTCTCTGGTGGACAGAGCGAAGAGGAGGCGACTCTGAACCTGAATGCCATGAACCAGCTGAAGGGGAAGAAACCCTGGTCGCTCTCTTTCTCGTTCGGCCGCGCTCTGCAGCAGAGCACGCTGAAGACATGGGCTGGGAAAGAGGAGAACGTGGAGAAGGCAATGGCTGCCTTCCTCTCGAGGTGCAAGGCCAACTCGGAGGCGACTCTGGGTGCGTACAAGGGAGATGCTACCAAGGGAGAAGGCGTTTCCGAGAGCCTCCATGTGAAGGACTACAAATACTGACCTCCGTTAATCTTAAGGTATGGATGCTGTCTTGGTTAGGTTGTTTTCCTTGCGCTTTCTCGTGATGCTTGGGAGTACCTTAGGCTGCACTAGGCAAAGAATTTGAGGTTTCGTGTGTTAAGAACCTGACTGCTTTGTGTCTTTTGGATGCAATGCCTGATATATTTATGTTGGTGGTTTCCTGTGTTCTAGTAGTTCCTGCAGATTGCTAAATTGACGATGGAAACTAGAAGCTAGTGCGAGTCATATTTCATCGTCTCTGTTAAATGCTCTCGACACAAGGACTACTCGCACTCCGCAAGCCCTGCAGCGCCCCGTCCCGGGAGCATGCACCTGGGTCAGCGGCTGCTGCAGCGAGCATTGCCATAAAGGGGGCTGGGGGACGTTGCGCGTGTTCACCCTGGCCTCATATGAACAAGCACTACCGCGTGTCCTCGCTCGGCCTACCACTTCTCGTGCTGGCGTCCGACCGAGAAGGGAAATCGCACGCCCAAGCCTGCCCTTGGTGCTTCCATCCTTCGGCCGCCTGCCGTGTCGATGCATCATCGTCATCGTTTCAAAGTTGAAACGATCGTTATGAGTAAGCATATTTTGTCGGTCAATTCCTCAATTTTCCACTAATTTAAGATTTCCTATCCCATCATATTGTTGACGCAAATGCATCATATCGGAGCTATCAACCGCGAATTCACGTCCGCGTCCCACTAATACCACCTAGCATCGGTGAGCTGGAGACTCACCACATCTGATCCTTGCCTTCCGTCCTCATGCCAGCCGCTGCAGCATCCCTCGATGTCCCCGTCCATCGGCCCGCTCTTCCTGGGCCTCTTGTTGGTCACTCGTCCCACTTCTCCTTGCACCTCTCCGTACTACTACTGCTACACCCCACGCACGCCACGGCTGCCGGGACCTCCACCCCAAGGCCACCTTCACCCCTCCTACCCTCACGCGATGGCCATCGCGGAGCCATTGAGTTGTCATCGGTCCAAAAATTGCCATTTGTCTCCTCTCGCGGTCGCGGCTTCAGCTCGCGTCGGCTCATCTTCTCCAGAGCTTGTACGATCGCGGCGTCGCGCGCCTCGCTCCAAGCGCGCTCGCCGGCCCGGAGGATGCGCTCGCGGTCGAGCCGCGCTGCCTCTTCCCTTCTCCAGTCTTCTTCCCGGGAGATCCTCGCCAGTTCCATGTGCTCCAGGGTCTTCAGCATCTGGTTCATCCACGTCGCCTGCGCCTCCATCAACCTCTTGATCTGTGCGCCAATGAACTCCTCCACCTTCGACTTCCAACTCTCTCCTCCCGTCTTTATGAGTCTTCCGGTGCTCCCGTCTACCTCCTCCTCGGTGGACGAGGCCTCGTTGCACTCACCGGAACTCGACAAGCTGATGCTCCAAGAGAGCTTGGGAGCCTTGCAGGCTCCTCGGTCTGCAGCTGGTAGAGTGGCAGCTGCATTGGTAGCATGATCAGAGCATCGTTGATTGATCTCTGTAGCGACAATATTGCTACTCTCTCCATAGAGGGCTTCCAACTGCCTGCAGAACCTGTAGTGCTTCCCATCCTGCCTCCCTGCCTTCCCTTCTTTGGTCTTCTTGTAGTACTTGTACAGGTTCTCCAGCTTCTCTCTGCATTTCTTCCCGCTCCTTCGGTATCCATGCTCCTCTGCCATGATCCTGCACTTTGTGGAAGATGGGTTAACATACGATAGCTGAGCAAAACCTTGCCATCATAGTAACATCCGACTCGAGGAGACCTCAATTCCATATACATAGCTCTGCTAAGGTAACCTTGACATAGCACGAGATAGTACAAGTACAAAACCCAAGTTTGGAACTCAAGAATGGAAATAGAACAAACACCCCGAGGTTTCATGGAAACGCCACTCAGTAAAGGTATCCTCATGCGACCCACCAACAAAAGAAGCTGGTAGTGTACCTGGAGACCTCATCCCACAGTGGACCCCTGCGGGCAGCTTCCCTGAAACTGGAGTCCAACCGGGATCTCACCTCCAAGAGCGTCAGCGTCTCCTGTCTCGGCCACCGCCCTTGGCCTCCACCACCCCCGCCACCGCCAGAGAATTCAAAGCATTCCGTTGCCGGCGGTGGCGGAGGCGGAGGCTGAGGCGGAAGACCAACTTCGCTGCCGGTGCCCGGCATGAACATCCCGTACTGCTCAGGACAGGCCGCGGGGACGAACCTGTAGCGCTGGCCCATGAAAAGCGCCTGGTTGGCGAGCAGGTCGGAGACGGATGTGAATCTGGGCTTCCTCTCGGCGATGAGATCGTGGAGCTCGTGCAAGTCCATCGGACTTCAACACCAATCAGCAAGCGATCAGGCGAGCGAGCGAGGGGGAGAGAGAGCGGGAGAGACGGATCGTGTCGTTCACGAAACGGAAGAAGGCGCAAGCGAGTACGGAAGGACAGGGAAGGATCCGGGTGGAAGTGGTCCAGGACGGAACCATACGTAATGTCTGTGCCAATGGCAGGTCTCCACGTGTCGACGGATGTGGGTGGAACGACGTGCCGGCGGTTAAAAACACATCGAAATATCATAAATTATCTCATCTCTTAAATTTGTTTAGTCCATATAAATGCTTTCACATTACATGCAGCATTTTTTTTATTTGATCATATATATATATATACGATTTTTAAAAATATTTATATTTTTAGATATTTTCCGATCGATACCTCTATTTTATATTTTTTAAACAGTATATAATGTTCTTGATTTGTTAAAGTGTTTTAGTAACTATAATAAAAATACTGTAAAGCTTATTTGAAAGCATGGTAAATAAACTAAATAAATTCATAATTTTAATCAAATTATTTATAAATATAATATTATTATATTATAATTATCTATGAGCAATGACAATATGCATGATATAGTGTCTGTCACATGTAGCATTTTTTTTTTTACCCTTATAATGTTTTCAGTATATTAATAAATATTATTAAAAAATACTGTAAAAAATGAAAACACTGCAGTAGTTGAAAACTAGTTAAAAAATAAATAAAATTTTTTGAAGAAAAAACTTTCAAGGGGTATTTTGGGTATTTTAAATTAGAGTATTGTTTGGAAAAAAGTAAAAGAGGGGATAATATAAATATTTTCTAATAAATCGTTCATATATATATATATATATATATATATATATATGATCAATTTCTCATATCACTATTATCTCAAAGAATATAGTAATGATATTATTTTAATTTTATAAGATCAATTGGATTTTGAGATTATAATCTAAACTTTAATTTATAGAAAAATAAATATCGTCGATCTTAAATAGTTAGATTCTACAATTTTGTTATTATTGTTATTAATATAGATCTTTTTGGATAAATTTATAGTAAAATTATGTTATTAAATTTATAAAATATTAAAATATTATATATTTATCTTAAATATATATTTTAATAAAAATATATATAAAATAAAAGGATAGGTAACTTAGTTGGTAAATATTTTGACGGATTACCATAAGATCCTGGTCATATATCATTTATAGTTTATTATTTTCCCCTTGATTTCATAAGAAAAATATGCATAAGAATTGGCAGCCCCACGGTTCGATTCGATGTGAGCTTGAGTTGAACCGGACCGAACCGGATTTTCGCCCGGCCTATTCGTCAAACTCATAAACTCATACTTTAAACGAAGGCGAGATCTTTGAATCCGAGTTCTTGAATCCCGAAGGGGTTTGAGGTTGGGGCCGAGTTCTTGAATCTCGGCGAGACGATGCACTGGGTTAAAGCCGACGCCTTCGATTTCGGTGGGAATCCGCCCCTTCCTCGGAGGTAATCGATTGCCTCTCTTTCTCTCGCTGTTTTTGTGCGATTTCTTCTTTCTTCTTCGCTTCATTTCCGGTTGATCTCCCTGTGCCGGAGAGTCTCCTCATGCTCTCGTGGATGCAGCGGTCACACGGCCGTCAACGTTGGGAAATCGAAGGTCGTGGTGTTTGGTGGCTTCGCCGACAAAAGATTCTTGGACGATATCGCCGTGTATGATATTGGTATCTTAGCCCTTCTCCCCCGAAAGATTTCTGTGTCTCCTCTGTTCTAATTTTGCACTTTTTCATGCTCAATTAGGACAAAATTCTTTTGAGATTCTTGATCTTGGTCGTTGATTTGTAACGACAACTCCGATCTTGCCAGTTCCTCCCTCTCCAGCTCACTCTCGTATCAAGAGGGAGATACGGGGAGAGTGAGCAGACATCTTATGGAGAGGGAGGGGATTGAGAAGGTATAGGTGAAGTAGTAAAAGTGTTGGCCAGAAAGAGACGAATTATTGAGGAATAGATAGGGTAATAGTATAGGGTTTATTGAGCTTATGTTATGTTGGAATTGGGTCGATGTTCTTCCCCATCCAAAATCTTATTCCCTCGAATAGCCTCTTCTTAGTAGATGAACAAATAATAATTTGCATAACGTTTTGGTTTGTGCAACTAATAATTAAGGTGAATATTGTTTTTATGTTGCACGTAAAATTTTCTTAACTGATTGCAAGTTTAGAATAGTGCAATTTATTCCTTGCTTAGTCCTCTCTGTCATGTCACTACAATATCATCATCTTATTATTATAATTCATAAGGATAATTAGCAGAATTACATTTTGGTGATTCTTTTAGATTTTGAGAGACTTGGTGAAACTATTTAGAGATTACTAGGACCTACCTTTGAGATAGTTTCTGCTTCCATTGCATTTTAATATAATTTGCATACAAGATGGGATTCATTCTATATATATTGTTTGTGTTCCTCCATGTTGCTATTTTCACCGGCTTAACTTATGATGTAGCTGTTATTAGAAGCTCCTATTAATGTAAACTTGTATTTCCTCGATCTTTTGCAGAAAATAAATTATGGTTTACTCCTGAGTGTACTGGCAGTGGTTCTGATGAGCAAGTAGGGCCCAGTCCCAGAGCGTTCCATGTTTCTGTTGCGATTGACTGCAACATGTTCATCTTTGGGGGCCGTTCTGGTGGCAAAAGGTTTGCAATTTTTCCTTATATTTTTTGTAGATATGTTCGCAATTATAAATTATAAATTATCTAATTATGGGATATATTTGCTTTCCAGAATGGGTGATTTTTGGATGCTTGATACAGGTAGACTCTTTTTACACTGTTTTTTTATGGTCTTTAAGCTCTTTAAAAGGCCCATTTATCTGGAATTTATTATTATTTATTGTCAAATTTGCAGTGACTTGCCATGAAATCAGCACTTTTTCTTGAGATTAGCAATTCATTAGATGATGGAATTTATGCTTTAATTAAATTTCTTCTCGTCTGGTCTTCAGCTGATGTTCTCTATTCAGTGTAGCACACGTCTTTAAAATGCTTGCTTGTCCAATTGTTGCTTTAGATTCCATGTAATTTGTCTCTTTTACAAGTGTTCAGAATATTTTCTATAAGAACATAAGGTCCAACTCTTGTCAACTTTAAAAGTGGCTTTTACATGCTAACATATAATTATTGGTACATGTTACCTGATCCATATGCTGCAAAATGTAAATGTTGAGTTTATTTCTTCTACATGCAGAAATATGGTCATTTCCAGGTTTCTTTTTTCAATTATAAAATTTTAAATTTCGTATATTTCCAAAACATAGTGTTTCATTTTTTAAAGTACTTTTTAATTTTTTTTTCACAATTAACTTCTACATTTACCTTCCAGATATATGGCAATGGTCAGAACTAACTAGCTATGGTGATTTACCATCTCCAAGGGAGTTTGCTGCTGCTTCAGCAATAGGAAACCGAAAAATTGTCATGTAGGCATTTTTGGTAGCTAGATGCTGGCCAGATTTGTTGACCAATTAACTAAGCTTGTATGACAAATTTTATATGGAAAATTAAATGCAGGTATGGTGGTTGGGATGGTAAAAAGTGGCTTTCAGATGTGTATATCTTGGATACAAGTAACTACGATCCTTTATCTTTTTGCTGCTGTTCAAGTGCTATTTGCTTAACAAAATCTAAAAGTTATGATTATTCTGAAATATGACGTTTTGCCTTCTAATATCGAAGTATCACTTGAGTGGACGGAATTGTCTATTACTGGATCAGTGCCACAGCCTCGGTGTGGACACTCAGCCACCATGGTGGAGAAGCGATTGTTAATTTTTGGTGGAAGAGGTAAATCATTACTTCATGCATTTTTAACTGACATGGTTTTACAACTTATTGAGAGTTATTTTAAATTTTTTGTTCCATATTATAGTTATTCGTGGTATTAAAATTGGCTTCCGCTATTAGTTTTTCGAGAGACAACCATTTCATGGCAATTATTCCACAGGTCTGAGAACAACTCGACTGTAACTTAAGTACTCAAGCGTCAGAGATAATTTTTGCTTAATTTGTAGGAACTAGGAAATCTTGTTTACATTTTTCTTTTTTTCAGGGAAAAATGTCACCAAAAGTTTATGTTTTCTTGGAAGCTCCATTAATTTATTGCCACTTAGCTGGAAATTCTTACTACACTGGCCTTTCTGAATCACAATGAGAAGTTATGTTTTCTGATGCGTCTTTGCGGTGTGCTTTTGTATACTTGCATATGTGGAACTTACTATAGATATCCTTAAGATAGTGAAGTTTGCAGTTTATATAATGGATGAATACAGAAACCCTTCATACACAAAGGCATCATATATCTCATATATCATGTTTCTTTTATGTAAATCCAATTAATACTACTTGCAACCTATTCGGCCTCTGCATATGATTATTGACATGATTACTTATCTCATCTTTGACAGGAGGTGGTGGACCTATTATGAGTGATTTGTGGGCCTTGAAAGGTCTTATTGATGAAGGTATATCATCAACAACCTATTTTTTGTAAAATCTTAAACAAATTTCACATGGATGCATTGTGTCCTCGACATAATTACTGCATGTTTTGATTGTTAATCTGTAAAAGAATTGTCAACTAAGTATATGTTACATGAATATTCCATGTTTGCTTAGGTTGTCCTTTACGAGGTAAGTTCGGCCTATGGTTTTCATCATGCTGCAGTGCAATTTTCTCCTTAAGCTTCTTGAAACTTTCTCCTTTGGATAATTGGATACTACTTATATAATTGAACATATACTTTAAGTTCTATAGAAGACTTGAATGCATCAGTAAAGAACATGAGCCAATTCAATTTATATTACAATGAGGAAGTTGGGGAGGGGTTTGGTAAATAGATGATGGCCATAGATTGTGAAAACTTTTTCCTTAACTAGGTAGCACTGTGGGTATTTGCAGTTAACCCTGAACAGTGAGAATACAGTCTTGTTTACAGTGATGGCATCCTTGGCATCATTGTTTTAAACGTGTACCTTAAAATCAGGGTTGGGAATCCCTAATACAGCCAAGAATCATCAAATTTTACATCAAGTTAGCAGGTTTTGGTGGCATGAATAGATGCACAAAGACATAAACCTGCCTAAAAGATGGGCTTGAAGTTTATACGAAAAGCCTACTTTAGGCTAGTCTTGGTATTTACTTCTAATCATGTTAGATAGACGGGTCTTGGATCAGACACAAACATTATTATGTAAAATATTGTGTAAGCTTGCAACAAGGCCATAGATAAAGCGTTGTTCATCTAGCAGGTTACTTACCCTGTTGAGCATATCTTGTAACACAAGAATGTCATGTCTATTACAATGATCACTTCTTGGGACTAGTGAGACGTAGCCTATTTGTTAAATGGGTAATTTTGTGATGTTAAATTATATGTATGACATATTTTTTGATTCAGATGACTATGCGATAGCTATTAGCGTCTAGTATCTTGGTCCAATGTGGACATGGCTTGATCCATCGATCCTCTATTTCATGTCATCACAAATTTTTATACTTGGTATGTGATTCATATTGTTAGGGTCCCTTGGTGTCGAGACATTAGGTTGAACATATTGAGAGTGAAAAAAATCAGGAAGAGAAAACTTGTTTTTTTGTCGTGATGTTGTTAGGGTCCCTAGGTGAGACAACTAGTATTAGTGGTACAAGGAGAGGTAGAGGTAGGCCACTATATTAGTAACTATAAATAAAGATTTAGATGTTGCCTTTTAGAACTTAGTGACTGCAAAAGATCCACTTATCCAACTCCAAAAAGTTGGGACACTACGACTTCTTGTTGTTGTATAGTCAATAGTGTAAGATGAATCTACTATTTAATCATTTTAGGGTATATGGTTCAAATTGATTATGTTAGTGGGACCGTTTCACATCAGGGTTTTCGTGATAGCTTGTTAATCATTATGAACAACTAGTAGGGTACTATTTGTTGAGCACAGAGCCATTTATTCCTTGTGATGCACAATGACTTTGCTAGATTTTTTATATTAACCTCTAAACTTATCTATTTGTTGGTAAATTGACTGTATCCTTTTCATTTTTGTTCTGGCGTAGTTGCATTTCACTGATCCCTAACTCTCGTTCTTCCGTAGGATTTATCCAATTTATAGTGTTGAGACTCCAGTTATCAGAATGAAACACTTTTTGTTATTGCCTGAAGAATGTCAGGCTTGACTTTTGCATGTTTACCATTTCATCACATTTTTGACAAGTTCAGCTCAGTTTGTGCAATATGAGTTTGCAGAACATTTATACAAAAGTTTATAGCTCCCTGAAACACATTTGATTACAGTTTGCAACATATTTCTGACGACTGAAAAATGGTTAAATATGTTATCTAATTTCAAAGTAGTAAGGGAATAGATGGACAAATAATTTGCAGGCAAAAAATATGTTGAGGCAAAGTATTTAACATCTGCTATAAATCATATCAGGCTAGTTCTATTGAGTTCTCTAGCTTCATTTCAATTTTCCGTCATAATTTGTGTATGTTAAGATGCTAAGTGATTTTTTTACTTTAATGTCTGCCTGTACTGCTTACCAATTTTACCTGGTATTGCTTTTGGCCTTGTCGCTATGTTAGACACATTCCCTAAGCTTGATTACCAACTTGTTTGATGTATGATTTAGTATTTCTACGGAAAAGGGCTTAAATCGGTTGTTTAAGTTGGTTATATAAAATGTATCATAATTTCGTATACATGTGGTTCAGTATCTATGGGAGACCTTTTTCACAAATATATGTAGTAGAAATGTGTGTTTTACGATAATTTCATGATGCAACATGGCTGTGTCTGACATCTAGTAGTGACATCAACACACCGTTTTCTTGATTACCTAATCAAGCTTATGTATGTTAATGATGTATATGTTAGTATCCTTGACAAACCTCGAGTTATTTTTATATTGGAAATTTCTCCTCTAACTGGGTTCATGTTCCATTTTCATTGTTGAAGAGAACGAGACACCAGGATGGACCCAATTAAAGCTTCCGGGACAAAATCCTTCTCCAAGATGTGGACATACAGTTACTTCAGGAGGGCACTATGTATAATAAATTCTAGATGCTCTTTTTCATGCTTCTCACCTATATTCTCTTTTGTTGCTAATTGATATGTATTCATTACGGATGCTGATGTATGGGCTGCAGTTGAGGTGCTAGCTTGGATTTGTGTAACTTCAAACATCTTTTGTCTGGCCTTCCATGTTTCACTTATAGGGCAAAGAGAGGGATATCCAATCAAGTAATATGTGTTAATTAGGGCTTTTATATCTGCATGCAAATGAACGGTGGTTTGAAAGCCCCTAAGTCCCTACCATATCACAAGATCTGCATCCAAATTTTTATGCAGTATTTGCACCTCCTGATACTTATCTACACAGAATTTGCATGTTGTTGCTCGACAACCTTGTGATATCCTTCCTATGAGCAATTTTTTTTTGAAAAATCATTTAAGAAGCTAAACTTGATATAGCTTCCTGGACTTCACATAGCCGCTGCCTACAAATTAAACATGTGGAGCGTGCATGTTGCCCACACCCTATGAATGCACTAACAGTATAAGTTTAATGCATTTATGTCTGATCACACGTAAGGACTAGTGGTGCTCATATACTGTACTGCCATACAACATATGCTGTGTACCATAATGCGTGGATTTGGCGCATGATAAACTGTGTACACCTGTTGTGTGTAACATGGTGCTCATAAGTAGCACAATGCACTCACAGGAATACATGGCACATGTTTTAGATAGTCCTCAGGTTGTTCATCATATTAATTGTCAAACACTCAGCATAAAGAAAATTTTAATAAACATATGGTCGACAAATATAAAGTCCTCTATTTTAAACTTGCTGTTTCTTAGATCAAGTTTGTGATTTTTGTTGAAAGATGTCACTGTCTTGTGACTACTAAAATAAGCTGCAATATTCCAAATTAAGTACTTGTTTTTCTTATAGTGATATACTTTCTGTTGATGCCAAGATGCTAAGATTCAGATAGAGTATGCTAGAAAGACATGAAGATGAAATGACAAGTGAAAAGTTTGTCCATGGAGTATTTTGTATGATATTTTTTTGCTAAATAATTTGGTAGAATCTTAATTGTAACACAACAAAATTCTTGACATTTCTTTCAATGATGCCTTTTCTCTCATGGCAAGCATATAGTTCTTTCGTATTTCCAAGATCTTAATTCACAATGCTATAAAATTTCTGAGCATTTCTTTTGCAGCACGCCACTACCACAAACATTTAAGGCTTATTCATATTTTCAGTATCTATCAATTCAATGCTAATTACTGGTATTGATTCTTTGTGGTGGTTATACTTATTTCATATAATTTAATCCAGAAACAGAAAATATAAAGAAACTTATTTCACATAATTCAACCTAGAAACAGGGAATATGGAGAAAATAAAACAAATGATAGAAGACCTTGTGCAGTATTTCTCTTGCCATTAAGTAACTACAGTTCTTTTCTAACAAATAACTACAGTTTTTAGTGACATTAAGTAATGACTTCTGGATCCATTTCTTTGTTTTGTCTGCTTGAGTTTAGATGGCTTGAATCTTTGCTTTTAGTGATTTCTAGATCCCTTTCTTGCTTGTCTGACGTTTGACAGGTGATACTTATAATTTCTTATATTCTTATTATCCAATTTCCTCATCTTGATAAACAGTCTTGTGTACTCAGCTGTTATTGTTTGGTGGGCATGGTACTGGAGGCTGGCTGAGTCGATATGACATCTATCACAATGACTGCATTGTTTTGGACAGAGGTATGCATGTATGTTGGAACACTTCTATTTAAGAAATATCATTGTTTTGCAAGGGCGGTATGTTGTTTAGCTTTTATTTCACATGGGATGTTTTGATTTCAGTACATATGTTCATCATGATGTTGCAGAGAAGGTGCAATTACCTGTTACTTTACTGTGATAACATCTTTTTTTCCCTCCTGGACCTTGTCCATATAATTTCTGGTTGTGGTTTCTCAATGGATTTTAAACTGTTGTTCAGAACATCTATCCACTCTATAGGTTTCAGAAAGTTATGTTTTTGGAGCTAGGCAATCAAGCTGTACCTCAATTCAGATAGCTTCCTCTCTTCACTTTCTCTTTTAAGCCTTTATCATGGTGCACATTATTCTTTAAAAAAGGTTTATTTTACTTGTATTTATTTAGTCAGTTTTTCTTCAAATGCTTAAACTCCTGGCTTTTTAAGACCATAATCACATGAATTTAATTTGTAGACCTGCAGATATCTATATATTAATTCTGTGATCAACCTCTAACATGGATGCTTGATGATCTTTTAATGCGTCTTGTAATATAATTCTACTGTTAACAGTCTCTGTTCAGTGGAAGCGCCTGGCCACTAGCAATGATCCTCCTGCAGCTCGTGCATATCATTCTATGACTTCTATTGGTTCTCGTTATCTCTTATTTGGTGGATTTGATGGAAAAACCACATTTGGTGATTTATGGTGGCTTGTCCCAGAAGGTATTACTATCTGAATGTGGATCAACAGTTTTCTTTTTTTTCAAGTGACTATAGACTGTTTCTACTTCGAAATGTTTTTCTCAAGTTGAAAGGACAACTTTGTAGGTGTAAGAGTTATTACACTCACTTCTATTTGCTTCTTTCTGTAGATGATCCTATTGCAAAGCGATTCCCCTCCATACCAAGTGCACCTCCTGAAAGTCAATCTGTCACAGTGTCAGATGGTTTAGCTGAGTCATCATTAAAGGTAATATGAATCTTGCAACACATGAAGTGTTGAAGCATCTTGTTTATTTTTGTGCTTCATGAAGTGTTGTTTAGTGTTTTTGTGCTTTAAAAAATTAATTAAATCTTGGAAGACAATACAATCTTATGTTACTGCAAAACTATGCAATTTTTTTGATCTTTTGCAGGAAAACCAGAACGAACAATCTCCATTAGTTGAGTTACAAAAGAGGTTAGGAATCATGATTTCTTCTTCGAACTTTCAGGTACATAATATTAATGAACTATATGATAAAAGACTTCTAGTTTAGGTTGGGTGGAGAGTCAGCATTTTAATTTATTCTTCTAAAAGTTAGGTAAATCTTGTTGATGAAGTAGATGACAAAGAACTGTTTGAATTATCATCAAGGCTGGCTGGAGAATCATTGCCTACCAGGGATCATTTAGCATGCATTCAGGTGATTTTTAGCTTTATTAGGTGAGTTTTTATTTTCATTCTTTTATGTGTGGGATTAAGTTACTAGTTTGGAAAATTAGGCCCTCCGTGACCGTTGGAAAAAATCAAGCGCAAGTTCAATCCAGCTGCAGGAGCTAGGGCCATTGCTGCGTGATTATCAACGTCTTATAATTCATCACCTGTAAGTTTTTTCTTGATTACCTGATTCTCTGTGTTCCTTTAGCAAGGATATATTGTTTCTTTTCCTTCTAGGCTAAACACAAGGACAGTGAATTACCAAATGTAGCTTGTCTGGTCTCTGACCAATCGTCAGTATTTAGAATTTTTATATGTTCAAGTGATATAAGATATGGCTGAGTACAGAAACTTTTAGCTTCTTATCAGATATTTTCATTATACTGTATACATATTGCTGCTATTTTGCTTTCTTCTTAGTTTTGTTTATTCTTAAATTCTAAAGCTGGATCTAGTACTTAGATGCTTTTTCTTTTACACTTTTAAGTTCTCTAACAATCAAGACCATTGATTGCTAGATTTACTATTTTTTATATTTGTTGACCTAGATTTGGAGGATTGCTGCTTTGCTTTTATCTTTATAAATTCTATTGAGAAGATTCTCCGTAATGTCACGGACTTAGCTGGTTTTGCCTAAGTCGTGCGGCACCCTTGCGTGTCTGTCCGCAAAGGTCAGCCTCCCCGAAACCTCCCATGGTCCCTTAGGACCTACAAAAGAGAAAACGGGTTAGAGAAAGCACCTCACTCGGGATTCACAAGTAAACATTTCCGAAAACACTTCATAGACAATGCAAATTACAAACAGACTTTGCAAGCTCTGAACGGTTGCACAACAAAGGGTCAAAATGGTCCACTACAGATCAAATTCTCTCACAAGTGTCCACATGACACAACCTTTCTTTACAAGCCTAAAACGGTCACCAAACCCAACTAAAATGGGGCTGTTAAGCCTTCGACCGTCCCTCTACATGCTGTGCAAAGCATGAACAAACCAAAAGATACGGACATACATAAGCATTATATTAAACATCCTGTTTAGAATTTTGTCCGTGACAGTGAGGTTAAGATATTGTAACCCAACACTAGTAGAACTTCCGAAAGCTAATTTGTTGTCACCATCTCTTTAATTGTTTTAACTCAGTGATTTTTTGACAGTTTCTTGCAACTGAACTTCTGCAGAGAAAATCTTAGATCTGATGGGCCATCCACCATATCCAATCTCACCGGACAAAAGGTTCACCGTTATTTCCATTTGAAAAGTGCTTCTCAGGTATAGATAGGTTCATTTCTCTTTCTTCTACTGCCATTTGCATTGGAATTTTCTTTTCTACTGCCATTTGAAAATTTGTTTTTATTTATTGGTTTTGTTAGCTGTTTGATTTGATGTATTTTTAAATGTTTCTACCATCTTTTACTACTACAAGCTCCTCTTAGAGCACTAACTAATTATCACGTTTAATACTGTTTATAAATTGATTGGCAAATGTAAGAATGCAGTAACCGGTGCTGGAATTAACTTAAAAAGTCATATTATCTTGCTAGATGGCTTCTGACATAGCAGACTGTTGCACTTGCAAATTCTGTGGTGTTACTTCTCATGTAGTCCAATTTTTGCTTATGCCACAGTATATTTTTAATCATGCATTAAGAATCAGATGCCACTATGATCAGAACTCCTTTTTCTATTCCATGTTTATGTGGCATATAAGGCACCAATGCCGGATTCACTCTATTTTCCTGAATGCCTATATTTAAAAGTAATCTCCAGAAACTAGTAAACTACTGAATCTTCTAACCATTTCATGAAGTTTAGATTAATCCTACCAAATGGTTTTCATCTTAACCGTAATACCTAGTTTTGTTTGTAGAATTGCTCAAGGATATAAATACCACTCCGATGCTAGTTTTTACAGGCTATCAGATTGTTATGGCGCCAGTCTACTAGGTAGTATCTTGATACGTACAACCTGGTACCACTGAAGAAGGAAAAAAAAAAAAAACCTAATCTGACCATACTGGTTCCTTGTTGGACCAGTGAATACCAGTTGATTTGCACTGGTCCAACCAGTATTTGAAACTATGGCACTGAAATGTCGCCTTTTAATGAGAAGATACTATCTGTACCTGTATAGGATGACTGAGCTTTTGTCAGATTGCATGCGGACACTGATACTACAGAAATAAGATATTTTGTTTTAGTTCATGTAAAAACAGGAGTGCCCTTGCAAGGATTCAGAAGATGTATTATTGATTGAGAGTGTCTAAAAGGAGGGGATGAAATATTGAGGAGAACAGAAGCATGAGATACCACGTAGGACTTGATCTTTCAGCAAGGGTTGAAGTGCCTTGAGTTTAATGATTTCCTAAAAATCGATAACTAATTTCTGATTAGCCATGGCAAAACTTGATCAAGGTCATGCTTTTGTACTAGTGACATGTTGCGATTTTCATTTTCGGTAGCTTGTGGATTCAGATGTCATTAGTTATGGCAGTTGCTAATATGATGTGTAAATTCTTTCAGTTGCGTATGGATGACATTCCCAAGCTACTGGATGAGTATAAACGCTTAGTCTCGTGAATTGGAATGTAACTTTGTGATCGTCACATAGACAAGGTAATTCAGATTACTTAATGAGCAATTTTTAACATAAATAGCTATATGAGTCTGAACTAATCTATGTATGATTCGTGGTGCTACCTTCAGGCTTCTATCCAGATTTGGATGTGTCGCTCGACCTATCCGTGTCATATCTCCGGTTTGCTGACAGCAGTAACTTCTCCTGCCATCCATGGAGTAGATCCCCTTATATTTTTCTTGATCATTTCTTGAACATTAGTCAGTGAGATTGGAAGGATTCTTTATTACCCCATTTCTTTCCTATTTAACTCCTTTTTCATCTCTAAGTTATCAATGCTACCCAAATCATTTACTGGACATCTTTTTGTATGATAAGATTTGGATAAGATTTAATTAATGTATTGGCTACTTGTAACTCCAGCTTATGTTTTTTAGCTCTAATATAGCCCGTGTGGATGAACGGCTCTTTTCCGAAGGTGAAAGCGCTTAGCAAAATGAATTTGTGATTTTTTTTTTATGGCAGTTTGTCCCTTTTTCTTTTCACAGAAAGCACGTCACAAGGCTGGCAAATGTGTATGTTAGAGTATGAAACATCATAATTTAGTGGTCGAAAGTTACTTAATCCTTTCTGGCCTGCCCGTATTGCATGCAGGATATCAAACGTACTGTACTGTACTATATTATACGCTGTTCAATAGGGTAGATGATATTGGTCTTCGTGCTTTTTATATATTTTTACAATTTTTCGTAGTTTATTATTATTATTATTTCCTGAAATCTTGTGTTGCCTTTATATGCATGCATGCATGCTTGTTAGTTCCCTAAAAAGTGTTTCTTATAAAAAAAGAATCGTACTTGGCTATATGTTTGCTGCTGTAAACCAGGGGACCCCTGAAGCAGTTAGTTCCCTGCCTGACTGCCTGCCTCTGGATTCCGACCCTGGGTCGGACGGAAGCAGAGTGCAAATCGCTTGCATAACAAACAGAGATAGAAGAAGTGTCAAATCAACATCAGCTAGTAACCAATGGGTGCAAACAGATGCTGGGACGTGGATGGGATCTTCCCAAACCCCAACCAAAGTCGAGAAGCCTCTTGGCACCCACAGTGAGAGTGAGAGAGAGAGAGACGCTGTGGCCCCTTTCCACAAGCATCTCCCTCTCTCGAGCAAGTGTCGATCGATGGTGGTGGGGAAGGAGCAGCATGTGAGGGTCCCGCAGAACAAGAGTTCCCTTGCCTACTCGGCAGGCCTCTCGGTGAGTTGCTTTTGGATGTCTGTCCGTCTCGTCGTGTCATGTTTACCCTCCTACCGTTCCTTCATGCCTTCCTCTGTATCGAACCGCAGACACAACCTGCTGCTGCTGCTGCTGCTGACGAGTGGTAAGTGTCCACGCATTATCACCTCACTTACTGCGTCGTCTAGTCGGTGGTACAATACCCCCACACACACACACACACACACACACTAGTAGTATAAGCCTCCTTTTTATTATTATTATTTATTTCTTTTACAGTTTGATCCTCCTATTTCTTTTTCTTTTTTTTTTGTCCCCAACGCTAACAAAACAACGGCCTATCTTAAATACGTGCAGGTGCACAGCAGATGAGGCGGTGGGTGGAGGAGTTCTACCACGGAGCCATTTGAATGATCGTCCTCGTGTAAGTGACCACTCGCGTCATTCTAATATACAGGGCTACCGGTTCTGATCTGGCTGGACTCGAGGGAGAAAAAAAAAAAGAAGGCGTAGTGGTGATCTTTCCTCGTACAACAACAACAACAACGATGACATCGTCATGCGCGTACGCAGAGCTTGCAGACAGCAGCAGCCGCATCATGTGATCCATACCCAGACGGTGTCTTAAAGTGGGCATTCCCTTGGTCGCCAAGATTAATAAGCGAGAGAACTGTTATGTTGGTATCCGCATGCACAAGTAAGTAAAAAAGGAGCAGAAGCGTTAATGCAGCAAGGAGCCAACCTCGCTTTGATAATAATTGAGGCGTTGGAAAGGGGAAGTGAAGAGCAGCCGAGCCGCAGGAACGCTGTCCGTGGAATCCACGTCTCGTGAGGAAGCCACCCCCACCCCCACCGCCTCGGCTCGACCTCCAGCGCCAAGTTTCCATCCATTCTTGAATCCACTTCGGTTCGCTGTCGGACCGATCTGGACAACACCATGCAGAATCGTATATCAGCCTCTCTGCGACTTTTGCCGGCTTTACTTCAACCAATACAACATCATCTCTCTCTCTCTCTCTCTCTCCTGCTTACTCCTTGGGATGTGCTTCACGGGACCATCCGAACATGATCGTCTTGTATGAAATGGAGTGCAGAAGACACTCGATGTACTACTGCAGGTCAAACAGTTGTGCTTGGACAAGAAAAGGCAAAAGAAGGTGGAAGAAAACCTGCATCAGTTAATCGAGTCCCACTGTTGGAGTCATGCCCGGAGCGAAGAGTTTGAAGTCTCATGACGGAGACAGACAGGGACCGGTCCATTGAAGACCCCCCTCCATCTTCAGCTACTTACTGCGTGCGCCACGGCAGCCAGCCACCGCTCTCTCCTCCGAGCCTCTCGACTCCCGAGGCTTTGCCTTTGTCATAAAGACACACATCTTGTTGCCCCTTCTCTCTCCCCTCCTCCAAAGCAACCACAGGTTGTTGGGCAGCAAGGAGAAGTATCCATGTGTCCATCCATCCCATCTCATCCATCCATCTTCCCCCACCACCTTCCATGGAGTATTTGTCTGTCTTCCTGTCCTCGTCTTTTAACTCCCATGTGAGACAGCTCTTTTCAGAGCAGCAGCAGTGGTGTGTGTTTTACAGCGTGAGCGGAGTTAAGGTAACTTTGCTTTCCATGAAAGAGGCAGCAGATCTATCACAGACCTCTTCTGAAGTGACAGATCCTCCTCTCCATTGTTGCAGCAAAACTACCTCCGGAACCCCCCCCCTCTCCTAACCTTCCACCAAATCAAGCAAAAAGGAGCCGTATAAAGTCCGACCACCGAAGATATAGTGGTGGAAGCAGAGCCATTTCCTTCCTCCTGACTCTCGGTTGTGTCTTCATGGACTCCCATCAATGGCGAGGCCGGCTGCAGTCAGACCGTCAGCCTTCTGCAGGGCTCCCCAAGCTCCAGTTCTTGGATCACCAGCAGTCACCTGCCTCTGCTATCAGTCTGCTTGGACCTGAGCACAACAGCAGCCTCGACAACACGCTCTCTCCATTCCCTAGTAATCCTCTCTTTATGATTTCTAGCTCCCGAGTGTTCTTGGTCGGTCTCTCCCTCGTTTCTCCTTTCGATTGCAGGGATAGGTTATTTCACGTTGGCACAGTGGCAGGAACTGGAGCTGCAAGCTTTGATCTACAAGTACATGATCGCTGGGGTTTCTGTTCCTCTGGAACTTGTTCTACCCATCAAAACGAGCCTTCTCGGCGCATCCCCATTCTCTCACCGCCCTCAGCTTTACCACCAGCTCCAGCCATCTTGTAACTCCTCGCTCTCTTTCTCCCTCCCTACGCTAGTTATGCACTACTTCGTTTGCTTGTCCTCGACATACGATGAGGTCTTCCATCGAACCATTGCATGATCTAGCTAGTGTCCAACATCTCTCTCTGTTACGTCGCAGCTTCTGACATGTTTTCCCTTGTCATAGAACTTGTTGTTCCATTCTTTAATCCATACAGAAGACTGATTCCATCGATCTATCTATCTATCTATCTATCAATCTATCTTTCTATGTATGTCATGTATATTTTCCAGGGTTGCAGACAGGGTATTGGGGGAGGTGGGTCGTCGACCCTGAGCCCGGGAGATGCAGGAGAACAGACGGAAAGAAGTGGAGATGCTCGAGAGAGGTTGTGGTCGGCCAAAAGTACTGTGAGCGTCATGTCCACCGCGGCCGAAACCGTTCAAGAAAGCATGTGGAAATCCCCACACCGACTTCCACCAATGGCTTCAAAGCTGCCCTTTCCTCGCCTGCAGGCTTGCCCCGAGCGAACCATTTCGATCCGTCTCCATCATTGCCTACGCTCGACATCCTTCCTCTGGATCAGAGGTAGCATCTGCTTCTTTTACTTGAAAGCTGTATCACATTTTGAGCACCGCATGCCTGCCGTAGGCCAGAAATAGTACTTCATTTCTTTCGGACCAAATTTGTTTCTGATATTTAAATCTGCATTCAAAATCATCTTAGTTTATTATTAAGAGGTAGAAGAAGACATGCTAACAGTAGAATTTAACATCTGCAACAATGGCAGATTAAACAACTATAGAGCCTCGAAAATGAGGCTGATTTGCTCAGACATGCATATGTTCTTCAAGAAATTGTTGCTGAATAGCATATGAATTGAATCCTCTTTGTGCTCGAATAAAGGAAATATGCTTGCTTGAAGGAAAACGAGAAGGCAACTAAAACCCAAACCGAAGAGAAACTCGTCTGAGACTCTTCGAAATGTCCTATCGATCCCTTTGAACCAAATGGTTTGAAGCAGTCGATCCTCGGGTTGTCATCTGAATCATCATTACCACCATCCATTCCTGCTTTTGTCCACAAATCAAAAAAATAAAACTCAAATCGCTTTACAATATTGAAACCGTTTGAATCGCTAACGCAGTTTCCAGACGCAGAGCAGCTAAAGTAAAGCATGAGGGATTGTCTCGAAACTCACCACATTTTATTGACCATTACCTCATCCCTTTTTAAGATTTTTGAATGCGAAGATCATATTATGGATAATCAGGATTGTTTGCGAAGATCGAATTTTCTTCTCCTATTCTATCCTCAAGTGAATTTAGGCGGATAGCATCTAACAAAAGTGTTTTATCAATTTGATCAAGAATCATCCCTCTTCTTCCTGCAAGGTGGTTGATGGAAATGATTGGTTCCATTGTTAGGTGGTTGCAGTGTCATCCTCCTTTCTGTATTGAACTCCAATTTCGTTCCGTAGAATGATTTTTCTTGCGCTTTTTTTCAGACAATAAAGTTTGATTCTGGTAATGTTGTTCTTATAGAGATTCAGACAGCAACACAGTTGAAAGGAGCTTCCAAAGCGATCGTTCAAACTTCTGCCTTGGAGACAACAAAGCCGAAGGCTATGTGCTGCAGAAATTCTTTGATGAATGGCCAAAATCCCAGCAAGAGGCCAATGACACAGTTAACTATACCAGCCATCCAGCTTCGGCCACCCACCTCTCTATCTCAATCCCTGGGAACCTGTCGTCGGACTTCTCCCTGAAACTTTCCACAGGCAACGATGCTAAGAAGCCCAGACAAGCGAGCAACAACGACGGCGCTGATGGGCAGCTGGTCTGTTCTAGTAACAACTGGTCAGGATGGGGTCACCATGGGGAGGCCTCCATGGGTGGTCCGCTCGCTGAAGCGCTCCGTTCTTCAGCCTCGACACACTCACCGACGAGCGTCTTGCACAAGCCAAACGGATCGGTATCTGAGACCAGTGGCATTAGCCCATGAGAAACTAGTATTACCTGATTTCATTTCCTAAAACTTGGCTATGAAAGCTAAGACTGCACCAGACTGATCTCTGCTCTTCGGGTTCTATGTAGCATATGGTATCCTCTTGAGAGTTGTGGTTTGCATGCAATAATGTTGGATGTTGGTGGTTATTCTGTACTCTTTACAGTTCTACAGTGTGGTTTTCTGTACTCTTTTATTTCTGCAAGTACTCTATAATGTGTAGTTTCTAAAGTTTCACTTGGACTCAACTTACATGTATAGAGCCCAATAATGTTGCTCATGGTTTGCTGTTTCATCATGAGGTCACACTGCAAGCCAGGTTGAAGTCACTCCTGATAACTAAATTCCAATTACATGTCCACCTATTGAGCTTGTAGCCTCTGCATTCAGTGTAGCCATGGTTTTCTTCTGTTTGATTCCACAAGGATTCACATGGAAGACACTGAAAACACAGTTCTAGATGTAATTTCCTTCTCTTGTATGATAGAATCAAGACTCAGAATCTCTTTGCTAAGAACTCCATGTGCTTGTTTGTGTGGTGATTCTTCATTTTTGATCAGTCTAAATCACCCAAATATTTGATACAAGTTTCTGAAGCAATCAGTAACTCTCAAGGCAAAGCCAAGTATTCTTCATTTTTAAATGGTATAAAATTATAAATCACCCAAGTATTTGTACACCATCTGAACTCTGAGCAGATACTGCATGAGTAATATAATGCATAGGTCAGTTACCTTTTTGCTGATGTATTGGTAAAATTTGCAGCATCCACATATACAAAATGGTCATAATAGCCGCAAATCGTTGCAAGAGAAAACCTAGAATTATGAATGATCACACCATTTCTTTCTTGTCTGTGGAGAAGTTGTACCACAGGCAGAAGTTTTGACCATCTCTTTTGGAAGTTGAGGTATTTGATTGAATAGCCAAAGATCAATTGGCTATCTCTTTTGGAAGTTGAGGTATTTGATTGAATAGCCAATTGGCTATTTCTTTTGGAAGTTGAGGTATTTGATTGAATAGCCAAAGATCAAGAAGAAGAGTAGGACAAAACCCAAATGAGCGAGAGCCACACAACCCAGGAAGCTGTGCTGGAAACCCAAGTTGTCTTTCAAGAATTGCTTCACCGTAAGGCTACCTGCTCCAGGAATGGCAACCAAGTCGTCCTTCGTCCCCAGTTGCGATGACACAATGCCATAAATCGTCCACGATACGGGATCACCCCAGTAGTACCACCTCCACCAGACAGGAATCAGCTGCAAAATGCACAATCGAGATAACATCAGCATTACGAGCGGAGGATTGTCCAGGAATCATCATGCATCTCGGTCAGGTGATCACATACCGGTCGCGCTATCACGAAGCCCGCGAACAAGTTCCAGAAGTTGTAAAAGAAACTAGATAGGATACTGGCAATATGGTGGTTGGGTGTGAGTGCTATGACCATCATGCCGTACAGAACAAAGTAAACAAAGCAGATTACGATGAAGAAGAAGAACCAAAGGAAGGCGTCGGCGCGCCAGCTAAAGCCAATCATTGGGAAAAGTAGCAGGCTATAAAGAAGCCCCATTGGTGGTATGTATATCAGCTCGATGCTCACCTGCACATGCAAAAACATATGCTAATTTGGCTGTTGTTGAAGATATCACAATTGTTCTAAAAGGATTAGGAGGACAACTGTTTGTAGATAATCGTTCATGTTCTTTTATGTAAGTGATAAATTTAGTCTGGCTAAGTAGATATTAGGAGGCATGTAGTAAGATGCATAGTACCAAAGCAATTCTGACAAATATGCAGAAAAAAAAAAGACATATTAATTTATGTTGCAAGTTTATTTAACAAACCCTATACCACCAAGTATTAGGTCGGTACCATCCGGTTCATGATCATGCCGCCCAATACAAAATGATATAAGCTTTGTATCGATCAATTTTCATATTTCATATTTTACTTTTTAGGTTTTTTTGAAGCTCAATACGTGCTGACATATCGACATCTGGTACACCAGTACAATAGAGGTACATGAATTTGCGAATCTTGACCAGAAATACATAGATTGTGACTTCAACAGTTAGTTTCCATATAATGACCACAGAGTGATTAAAGTTTAAATCAATTTCAAAATGATGCTCGAGACTTGATTTACTATAACTCTGCCTATTGATGCAAATTGGTAAACAACCACTCATATGAAATGGGTTGAGAGACTTTAATGGAGCCATTCATGCTACAAACTGCTAACCTCAGAGGTCTACCATTCGGTTAGAGGACTAATTGATTCCACTCAATTATTAGGTAATTATGTTGAACCACAAACACATATGGCTATAACCTATCACTTTGTCTAACATTGTCAGCTTTTGTTTTTTCTTTGTTGTGCTGATAAAGTTAACATAGATAAACAGCTAACTGAACTGTTCTTTTTTCCATAGTCTAAGTATCATTTAGGCTTATGGATTTCATAATTCTGTAAGAAGTTACTAGATGGAATTTTGTGCGCACACATAAAATAGGGAACTGCTGAAAATGGTGACTCTGCCAATTTATTAGCATTTATACAAGGCTGACTGAAAACAAAATGAAATGTTGTAAAAAGGTAATTCAAAAGGGTTAATTCTTCAAATTAAGAAAATTATCTTGAAGACAAAGTGACAATGTGCAGGAAAGAAAAGGAGCAATATCTTCATTGTTCATGCAGCATACCATTTGGATGACATATCCAAAGATTTTTGCAACATAATTCTACTACATTTCAAAAATTAATTTATTCTGGTTCACCATTTGGATGGTTTTGTTAATGCTCTTGGATGAGATGGCTGTTTTGACTATAGAACGGGCGTATTTCTATTCTGCAAGTAAACTACAAATATTCCAACAACAAAAGAAATGTGGTGCACATGGATTTTGTGTATGTATTTGTATGACAGATATCTGTATTTTCCATTTGCTCTTCTATCTTTTGTTTCCCATTTTTCCTTTTACTTATGAAGCATGGATACTTCAAAATTGTTCATCGTATCTGTATAGTATCTGCGATTCTGTATAAGACATATTGGATATGATAATTGCAGGACATAATTCAAACCATGGTCTACAGTATCGAACTGTACCGCCCGGTACGGGCGGTATGTACCGGTCCGACAGGTTGCCGGTATGCGGACCGTCTGTTACTGGTCCGAATGCACTGTAGCACTGTAGCAGAACTACAGTACTCGACACACCTGAGTATACTGCTCGGTACACCTGGGTGTACCGCTCGATATATCGTATCGTACCGGTACCGAGCCCAGGTCGAAACACCGGTACGGTACGGTATTGCGAACCTTGCTTCAAACTACTAGAAAAATCTCTGGATACCATAATATACTTAGGTAACATTTTTTGGTAAAACTTTGATTTTTTAATCATAGAAACAGACTTCTTGCTATCTTCTCTACAACCTCGAAATATTATTTTGTAAAATAATATTGTCATGATGAATAGGTTATGGATGCCAGTGTCTACTTTTTGTGTAATGAGTCATTATAAAATAATTGGCTCTTCTAAGACTAAACCTTGTCATATAGGCAATTTATACTTCTAAGCATATTTGTTTATTGCTTTACTCATGCCATACCATGTTATTCTCTTATCTCTATCATGTCATATCGGTATTCTCGATCCATACCTGTGCTCAATAGCTATGGAAATTACTTTTAATGAGAAAAGCATAAATGGTGTTCATGCATAGTATAACAAGCAACAATGTCTAGATCATTATGGAAAAAAAAAAATTTGAAAGATTTGGCTTACTTGAGCAAATGCATAGGCCAGGGCTGAGTACATCCCTGCTGCTCTTTCACGGTAAAAGACAGTCCTCTCAACGGCCACAATAGGCTGCACAATGATGGCATTGGTGGCCCCAAGGAAGAAAACAGCAGCATATATAGCGCCAAGTATCTCGAGAATGTCTTGTTGTTTGCTCCTGTTTATGTAGCCACATATGAGATTGTAATGGGAAAGCTATACATTGGTTTGATGAATGTACAAAGGATAAGTAGTTAAAAATCATATTCTTTATCAGCATATGTTGGAGCTTCTTCAATATTACACGATACGAAAGTTTGATCTTTGAGAGACCTAAACAAAAAAGAAGATACAAATGAAAACATTCAAAAAATATTTTATTACTGATCCTGTAAACATTTTCCCAGAATTTTGAGAGGAAAAAGCTTATCATTGTTATCTATTAATCACCTAAAAGGGGCTAGCACAAGTGTGACCCATTTTAGTAATGTATTCTAAAGTCAAAGTGATCGATATCAAGTAGGTCTTCTAACCAGCAATTGACTCACTGTTACTCATTTAGGTGGTTGGTTGCACAGAATCAATGCCTGTAAACATATTGGGACACTGGAAAGACCAAGAAAGGAAAACCAAGAATCAAGAATAATGTCCTGGGGAAGAAATAGTCAAGGAACAAAACTTATTGTTAAAGATTATCAATGGCTTATCAAGGATTGTTATGACCCATAGGCTAGCCTCAGTTCATCACAACCTTGCCATATGCATTCCACTGATTGCTGTGTTATTATGTGACATGTCCAAGCAGATCAAGTGGACATTCACATGCCTACTGTTATCTATTAATGTTTTATGCAGCATGTACATAAGTTGGCAAAAGTACATTGTTGGCTTGCAGAACAGAAGCCAATGTCTTTGCATGAATTAGGCTCTGTAAGTCCTAACAATGGTTTATTAACCTAAGTAGTATAATAGCTTGACTATATAACTAACATTCTGGGATTGGAGTAGTTTAACTATTCAACTTTTATTTTTCTTTCATAAAATGTCTAATTATTCAACCGTTTCTTTCATAAAATCTTAATGCAGTTAAAACGGTTTTTTTCTGCTATGATTTGATCAGCAATTTACTAAACCACGAAAGCTTTAAGAAAAATGCATATCATTTAAGCATATGAGTTGTGAATCACAATTTAAAAATGTTAGGTTGGCTCTGATACTAAATGTCATGACCCGGGCCTGATAGGTTAACTAGCCTATCAACTTCATTGGTCAAAATGCTTAAGCTAAAGTTAATAATAATACACTCATCATACCCTTATAAGTCAATCTTAATTTTGCCCACTTCTGACGTGGAACTAATCGAGGGTGTTATAATTATGTGGGCCACAAGGAGAAAGAGATTATGTCAAACTATTTACTATCTAAAGTCTAAACATGCATAAGCATATACAAGGATTTTACGACCTATTGAGGGAGGCAGGTTCCTGCTCATCTACATGCGGCTACACCACAGCCACATTTTGGGATTATCAGCTACCAAAATTTTGAAGTGAAGGGATTATTAGCCACATTTTGGTTTCAGATGCAATATGATATATACTTAATTTAAACATGAAAGCACAGTTTTAAAAGTGCTAATAGGTTAATAGACAGGAAAATTATGTGTTTAATGATATTCATCAAATAATTAAGTATGAATGATACCTTTTTGGGCTAAATATACTGCTTACCTTCTATTTCTATACACTGCGACAAGGAAAATGAAGAAAAAAATTGGAGAAAATTAAGAAACTTACATCTTTCCACCCTTTTGCCAAAACACCGAGCCGAATATAAGGCCTATGACAATTGTCATGAAGAACCGGATGGCATTGTATTCTGGGTTTCTCCAATAAGACCAGTACTGTTTCCAAAAACATGCTTTGCATTGAATACTGAATCTCTGGGAATATTTTGTAGGAAAATATAGATCTTTTGAATCTGGTGCAGGAATGTTCAATTCCTTGATAAGTTCTTGATTTTTTCTGAATGATACAAAGTGGAGAATAGTAAAATGATTTTGATGTATGTTTGATAGTTTTTTTTTTTACTTTGATTATGAAGTATGAACAATATAGCATCTACTTACTGATAAAGAGGGGAACAAGCATAAACTTCAACAAAATCCAGATTCACGCTAGACTCAACTGAAGGAGAGCTTATCTCCAGCATCCATGTTGCAGGGTTATAACCTTCAGTAATCTTGGGTATCCCTGGAATCGCCTGCAGGATGGTTTTCTTGATAAAGTCATGATTAAATGTGGACTTTACTGATAACAAATCACTCTATTTATACTTTCTATACCATAATTGCACCTATGGATCTACAAAATATCACTATTATTTAGAAACAATAAGCGGCAGGACAAAAACTATAACAATTCTGTCTTGGTTTATGCAGCAACTGTTTACAATAACAATTGTTGAAATTTCAATCTACAATGAAAACAATTGTTTATACACTTAAATGACTTATTCAACTTCAGAATTGAACTAAGCAGCACTTTTCCTAGAAGAAGTCCAAAAGATAACAGCAATGATGTTAATCAGGCTCAAATATTAGAGGTTTTCCTTTGCAGAAACTTCAGTAATGGTCCTTAGGTAATAGTAATACATGAAAAGAAATTGTACATATACAAAGTTGCAGAAAATAAATTTTAGTTTTATAAGTAATCATGTGACATGATTTAGTTTTTATTATCATTAAATGATTGGATATTCTCATTCAAAAGAACTTAGAAATCTGGAAAAATACTCACTTCAAAGTATTCTATAAGTTTGTGAGAGTAACGACCAAGGGGTCCAGCATATATAATTTGACCTCCTGTCTTCATCAGAAGTAGCTGGAGACAGAAAAAAAGAAAAAGAGTTCTTCTCTGACCAATGTACATTAGGATAAAAAGCAAGTTGAATCGGAATAGATACTGCATGAAAATAAATTTAAGGGAATGTGAACCTCATCAAAAGCTTCAAAAATATCTATGCTTGGTTGGTGGATTGTGCAAACAACAGTTCGGCCTGTATCCACTGTATTTCTCACTGTTCGCATAACTATCGCTGCAGTTCTAGCATCAAGGCCTGACGTTGGCTCATCCATAAAGATGATGGATGGGTTTGCAACCAGTTCAACGGCAATCGTGAGTCGCTTTCTTTGTTCTATTGATAAGCCATCAACCCCCGGAAGGCCAACCAAAGAATCTCTCAGTGTATCAAGTTCTACCAGCTCCATAACCTCCTCCACAAACATCTACGGTTTGCAAACACAAAACTAACTGTTACTTTTGTTTAATGATGGATTAAAAAGAGGAGAACAGAAATGCAAGTAGGATGCAGGAATACACATGAATGTCTCCCTCACAAAAGATATGGTACAGATTAGAAATAAAAGATGTGGTACTACTTAAGTGTTGCAAAATGGAATATCGGCCAATACTAGGACTTATTTCCGATCCTCACAAAAAGCAAAAAAAAAAAATCAAAAGTGAACACTGACCTGTTGTGTTTTCTTGTCTATTTCTGAATCAAGACGGAGCCAAGCAGAGTAAACGAGTGATTCATAGACAGTCACATATGGTGAGTGAATGTCATTTTGTTCACAGTAACCACTTATCCTATCAAAAGTCTCTTGCTTTTTAGGATAACCAGAAATGCTGATGCTCCCTGAAATATAACCACCAGTTTTTCTCCCTGCCAGGACATCCATCAATGTAGTCTTTCCTGCACCGCTAACTCCAACTAGTGCTGTCAGCACACCTGGCCTAAATGCACCACTTACATCAGATAGCAATTGGAGACGATCTTCTTGGATTCCTTGGTTCTTCATTTCCTGATCCAGAAGGGGGGAAAAAAATATCACAAGAATTTTCTTTATTTTTGTTACTTCTGTGAAAAAATAGTGACCAAACAAATGAGACAATTCCTTAACATTCTTCAAACAAGAAAAGAGATACCATTGTTTTTTTTTTTTTTTTTTAACTAAGCAACATTCTCTATAATTCGCATGCATGTACACATTATGTAAAGTGCGCAAGAAAAATTAAATAACCTTTTAAAGCTATGACCTAATGAATACAACAAGAATAAGGAATGTGGCAGCTCATACCAAATGAAACCACTAAAAAGAATTTGCAATCATGTCTAATTCTCAGAGTTCAGATAGTGATCTTATTCCAGCATTAGTTTGCTCCTGAAAGTAGAGAATGGCATGTTTCATGCAAAAATGTATCAAGCTCATTATTTAGCATCAACTAAGGAACGTCAGGCAGCTGAACATCCAAGCGAAGCTAGACAAATTGAGTTTCAGTCTATCAATCAGCATGTAGTTACAACAAACTGGATATGCATCAATACCTACAGTCCATTCAATAATGATTCTGTTGATTCAAATTGTGTGAGTCCATAATTACTACTAACTCCAATCTCCAAAAAGGTTGTCAGATGTTGAAACATAAATTAACCAAGAATGAGAAAAGGCACACAGGATTTGTGCAAACAACCATGATTTCGTTAAAATTTAAAGAACTTCAATAATACAGTTGTGATTATTCACTTACAGCAGGCATGTCAACATAGTAGTTCACATGATTGAAAGCAAGAGAGAGAGGCTGGAAAGGCAGAACCATTCCCCTCCTAGCTGGACACACTGAAGAATTAAAACTCTCAGAGCTGTTCCTCCTGGCTGCAGCTGCATCAACATCTACGAAAATAAGAAACATTAAATCAATTGAACAACCAAATGAAAAGAAATCAAATTCACTTAAGATATAGTGTAGCCTCAAGAGTGCTGCTGCAAATATCTGATACAACAGCTTTATAAGAGAATGACCGGGTCACTAATTATTCTCAACCTGGGTCTGTTAGTCATATGCCCCAGCTATTAATTTCATATGTTGTTGATTACCAAATTATTCAAATATCATAAAAATTGCAATCCCTTATAATGTTATGCCTAAATTATGGCTCAGTACATAGAAAACTAAATCATTGAGGTTGAGTGTATAGTCATCAAAAGCTATCTTGTACTTGGTTACTAGAAACGAGATGCTACAATAAACATCAAGGCACAATGAGAAAGATGAATGCAATTAAACCAGCTAACCGGGTATATCAGGTGCAGTAGACCTCCTGTCACTTTCTATCAATTCAAACCTCTGATCTCCACCTGATGAGTTCTTTCTTTTCTTACTTTCCAGTTCCTCATCAACAATCATACTTTGAGAACTTGCAATAGCTACAATGAGCAAATTTAGTTCATGTGAGGAAACACTAGTTCAATGAAATGAAAAACAGAAAAATTTAATGGAGATCGGCTACTTACGGTTCAAGAAAGTTAGTGAAAGGATAAACAATATATTGAACAGAATAACAAAGCCTATGAGGGCACCAATAGAGACCCAATACCAATATCCATTGACAAACATTCCTCTAGATTTTAAAATAGCAGTTCCTACAGTTGCTGCATCTATGTTGGCATCATTGTTTGGCTGTAACAGAGATAAAGAAAGCATACATTACATTTGGAATATGACTTTTTACTGAACATGCATTCATTATTTCCAAAATCTGAAAACATCAGCATCACCCTTTTAGAGAAACTATACATGCATCGCTATATTCATATGGCATTCAAAGAAAGGTTACATGATAAAAATCTTACGGCGCCCCATCTTGGATCAAGGAACTCATTAATGGCTATAGCATTTTGCCCATACATCAATGGGGAACTCCAGAAGCCCCATTTCCACCATGGTTTGATGTCATCTGTCACATAAAAAAAGAACAAATTTGAGATGTAATCCTACAAGAATCCAAATATCACAAAGTAAATTAAACAATTTGTCATCAGATGACAACTTCTGTTTTGAAAGATAGGTTATTAATTAAAGTAGCAAGATTTTTTTTCATATACAAAGTATTAATTAAAAGAGGTCATGTACAAAGAAACAAGCAAAGAATCATACATCAGATTACCTTTAGACATGACAAATCCTCCTAGAACAAAAACAAGAAGCACAGAAAACGTTCCAAATGTATTAGCTATAACCATTGTTCTTCCAGTTGCAGCGATGAAGCGGAATAGAGCAAGGGCCACTTGATGTACTAGGAGAAGTACCAGGAACTGGCTGAAGAACCTGTCAAATTATGAAAAGATTGAGATGGTGAATTTTCATTTATCCTATATATCATGTCATTGGAAAAAAGGTGAAGCACTTTGAACATATCTGATCCTTTGTAGAATCATTTTAATTGCTAAATCCTGAATAATAAAATAGAAAGAAATATTTGAGTACTCACCGGCCTGTAGCAGGAGCAAAACCAATCGCATAATAAGTAAGAAAAATCCATATTCCAGTGTCCAGTAAAGAAAGGGGAATCTTGAGGAGCCAATATGACAGGCCAAAAGCCCAAGGAGGGTAAAACAAGAAATCTCTCTGTTTATAGAACACCGGGAGCTTGTAAATAGTCATTGACAGTTCTGCCATACCATTAAACATCACGTTTATCAAACTGTAAAACAGTGCACCGTAGAACTTGTTACCATCAGGAATTGTCTCGTGGGGCATTTTTGTTCTCAGAAACACGGTCATGGCTATAAATGAAAGTACAGTTATCTGGAAAGTCTTAAAAGCATAGATGAAAGAGTTGCGCTTCATTAGCAACCACTCCCTTGATAAACATGCCTTGAGAAGTTCCCAGTTAGAAATGCCATATTTCTCTGTGGTCAGTGCAGCAGGATGGGCTCTAGATTTATCATAAGGAACACTAAGCTCCTCTGAGAGCTGTTTCCCAACATGAAAGGACTTGAAAAGCTGCACAAACTCGGAGACCGAAATATAATGGTATTGGTTTTTGTTAGACCAGTACTGTTCTTGATCCTTTTTTGAAGTTACCTCTTGAAGAAAGTCTGTGATTCCTTTTCTTTTGGGACACTTGAAACCAACGGACTCAAAGAACTCAAGGACATTCTCTCGAGGACCTTGATAGAGTATTTGTCCCTCAGACAATAGAATAATGTCATCAAAAAGTTCAAATGTCTCTGGTGCAGGTTGAAGAAGAGAAATCAGCACCGTCCCATCCATGACATGAACCATCTGTCTAATAAATTTAACTATTTGAAAGGTGGTAGAACTGTCGAGTCCAGTTGATATTTCATCCATGAAGAGTGCTCTCGCAGGCCCAGCCAACATCTCTCCTGCAACCAAGAACCAACATGTTTACCTTTTTAACCATGCGATGATTAAGAACAACAGAATAAAAATCAAAACAAAGCTAAACACGTTATTAGCTTCAGAAGTACAACAAGGATACTAATTCCTTTATGACTGGAGACCTGATGCTTATGATTGATGATAGAAATGCCAGCACAGCAAACAAGCTGAAGAGAAGAAACACCCACTCCTTGTACTAATAAAAACAGAAATTATTATGCTTAAACAACATGCTAGGCTCCATCGATCTTGAATTATATGATTGTTAGGGTATTTACACCTATCATGATAGAGCAAACTAAGATGATATCATTCTTCAGGATGGTGCTTCAGTTGTAGATGACAACAGGATTTTCCCCTAATAGTTTATTCTGCTTATTTCTGAATTGCATGTGCTTTTTTATTGGAATTTGTATAAAACACCTAGTTTCTTTAGAAAATTTCTCAAGTAGCATAGTTCCTGAACATGCGAACTTCATGTGAAATTGTTCTTGTTGGGTTAGAGATTCTACCAAATTATTTAATGTGTATAATACAATAAACATGCCTTGGCAGAATTTAGTAGAAACTGTTGATAAGCTGGGGAGTCCATGGTAATTAGATGCCTAACACACATAGGTGTCAAAGCCCATCCAATTGGATGAACAAAGAAGTTTGGTTAGCAAGGATTTGCAAATGGCACTTGACAGCAATCTAAATCTCCTAGCGATGGACATAGTTATTGCTACACACCAGTTGTCAACCGTTTCTTTTGGCCCCCAGAAATGCCTCTTCTCATCTCATCACCAACAAGGATGTCTGCACAGATATCCAATCCAAGTGCCTGTTTCCAGAATTTCAGGAATTAGCAATGACATTTACAGTTTGACCAGCGATAGAGCTGCAATTATAGAGATGTACGCATGAACCTTGAGAATGTAATCTGTTGCTACACTGGTTTTCTGCCCTTCCATTGCAGTAGCCTTCATGAACACATCAATCTCGGGGTCTGGTTTAATTCCTGCATCCCTCTCTCGTCTTGACAATTCTGACAACATCTCATACCTTGTTCCCACGCCCAAACAGCGTCCTGAGAAATCCAAGGTTTCTCGTACTGTCATCTCACCATTGTGAATGTCCAACTGACTAATGTATGCACAAGTTCGTTGGGGAACAAATTCTGAAAGCTCATGGCCACAATATGTGATTTTACCAAATTCCTGCTGGCAAGGCAAGCACATCAAATGCACATATCTGTATATTATACAAAACCATCTATGCATTTTAGCACACAATATCAGAGACAATTGCATATGCATGTATGATGGTAGAGACTGGGGACACGCACCCTCAGATTTTTATCAAGTTTCCCAGCCAGGGCAAGCAAGAGTGTTGTTTTCCCCGAGGCTGGAGGTCCAAGAAGCAATGTCATCCTGAGAATGAATTAGAAATTAAAGGATGAAAAAAAGAAAATCATAGTGATGTCTGTTTTGAGTTCATAGAACTTTTTCAGAATACAAACCAAACTGGAACTTCATCGAAAAAGTGAATAACATGCTTCAACATTTCATTTAAATTGCTTTTTGTGGCAATATAACTGGGAAGTTACTTTTGCTTTTTTTTTTGCTTTCAGGTACTCAGTTTGAGTGTTGGGATGGTCCATCACTGCTTCGATTCATATGCAAAGGATTATACTTCGAAGGAATATGTTAGAGCTTAAATACATTTTTAGGTCTGTCCGTATCAGTTCAAGCTTTTAGGAGACGGCTTGTACTTGATTTCTCTTGCGGTTACTATCTCAAAGTGAATGCTGTGGAAAGATCACTATCATGTTGGGCAGATGGCCCATTATTCAGCCCATAGTGGGCTTTAATTACCCACAGCCCACTTTAGCCTTCTTTCTTCTCATTTAACCTAAACCCTAACCCTTTTGACTAAGAGTTGTAACAGCTAGGTAAGAAAAAGGGGACAATCGGTGGCTGTGGAAAAGAGGGAAGCAGCAGTGGCAGTTGAGAGCAGGAAAAGAGAAAAAGCAAATGAAAGAAGACAATGATAGCCCAAAAGCTGTTCTTAATCATCAAGACAGTATTCTTATCTCAAGTTAGATCAAATTTGCAGCGAATTCTTATTGTGATCACTTGGGGATATTTTGGATATTGTACATACTGACAATCTTTGTATCCCAGCTATTCTCTTGTGATTGTTATTTTGGTTTTGAGCAAAAAAACTCTAAGATTTATACATTTATTATTTTTATAATGGATTTTCTCTGACTTGCCCTATGATTTTTTACCCTTAACGTTGGAGGGATTTCCATGTAAATCTTGGTGTCCTATTTGATTATGATTTTCGTTTAATTTCGTTGTGTGTTACGATCTGCAAAGTTCTCTTTTTATCCCATCATATCGGGTGACCAAAGTCACAAAAGCTTTTTAATATGCTAGAGCTTTTAGAATTTATTTCAAGCAAGGCTTCTAGTTCTAGGATTCTAAAACTAAAAGAACTTTGATGCATTTTGCTCTCATACTTTTATTGAAATAAAAATAGATATGGGTTGTAATATTTCTCAAAATAATTAATGATTAAAAGCAGTTGGCAAGGCAAAATTTTCCAGAAAATTTGGTTTGCTTACCTTGCTGGTTTCAGTATCCCGCTGACATCATTCAGAATTTTCATGGTCCTTTTCTTGGATGGAGAAAGATTTAGAAGACCAATAATTCCCTGAATGTTACACATCAAAGAGAGAAAAGAAACATCATATGGACATGAAGGATTTTACAAATGGTTTATAATGACGTAATAAAAAACTTGAGTCGTGAGCTTTTTCTAACCTAGCTTGTTAGGAAGAAGTAAAACTTGATAGATCTTTACAAGAAAATAATTATAAAAAAAATCCCTCCGAAGAATCATAATTGGTTCTCATGTTACTATCGATGGACTAAAACCTTCTTTTCTCAAGTCAACAATAGTAGGAATGGAACTTTTTAGGAAATAGGGACACACCAAAACATTTAGCATTAAAGCTTAAAATGTGACACGATAGTACCTTAATAGCAACCAAAATCAGATCATAAAACTAAGTCCAAATGTAGATCTGGAAAGGTAAATATGAACTGATGTATGCTACTGTTTTAGGGACAGAACTAGGACTAGCAACCACGATAACAAAAATGTCACAGGACATAAAGATTATCAAATGAAGAAGTTTCTTTCTCTATTCTTTTTTCCTTTTTTTTTTTTTGTTCTTCTCTTGGTTATCATTAAATTTTTAACAAAAGACAGATAGTAGTAATGGTTTCAACACTAGAAAAGTTTCTCCCTGACAAAAAACTTTAGGTGCGGGATAATATTCAGATTCGGCAAACGATGAGATGATTTTGGGTTCAGTGAGTACCTCTAAGATGTTCAGAGTGGAGTTCCACAAGGTGGGAAGTGCTCTGCTTCCCACAGAAACATTTGCCTCGACCGATAGATTCTCATACCGGACCTCGATCTTTGGAAGTTCCAGCCCTACCCTGTTCCATTTCATACATGTCAAACTAACCCCAATCAGACCCAAAAAATGAAAATGGGAGATAAAAATATATAATTTATAGAAATTGCCTTCTTTGTTCTGAGTCCTAAATTAGTTGATTACAGCAGAGTGAATTGAAATTGAATTGCATGACTCATACAAGATTCAAGAAAACATAAGATTTTGAGCCCTATTCAAAAAATTGCTCTGCGATTGTTCGACTTCAATAGAGCGCATAATTTAAATTGATGCTGCAGGATTTAGGAAATTTTTCTTCGTTTATTTTATTAGGTATAGAAATAGTTAATCTGAGAGAAGAGCACATGAACTAAATCAAGAATGATGGGGTGATTCTTGAGGGAAGCGAACCAACCGGTCGATTCGGTGTCGGAGGCGCTCGAGGAAGCGCTCGTTGTCCTCCTCGGCCACCTTGAAGAGGCGGTCAAGCAGCAGCTTGCGGTCCCGAGGGGCGAGCCGGTGGACGTCGACCTCGTCGCAGACGACGCGGCCGTCCTCCACCACCTGCCGGAGGATGCCCTTCCGCATGCGGTCGTAGGTGGGCAGCTTCTCCAGCGCCGCCCACTTGAGGTTCTCCTCGTCTTCCCCTTCCTCTCCCCCGCTCCGCCGGAACACGTCCTTCGGGTCCCGGAATGCTGCCCCCCAGCTCCGTCGGCTGCTGCTGACCATCGCAGCGGCGCTGCAGCAGCCCCCTCCTCCCTCCTCCCTCCTCTTTCTTGTTCTCGACCCGCCTCTCTCCATTGGTTTGCTTTGCATGCCTATTTATAGAGAGGCAATTTTTCATATACACCCTCCGAAAACACTAATTTTTGTATCTATCCTTCGTTATGTCTCTCAATCATTTTGAGTCGATCGTATGACTTATTTATCATTAAAAAAAGTGATTTGACTTTTAATTTTTACTAAATTCTTTCTCCTACTAAATCACATCGACGATTCATTCATCTCATGCATGGTAAATGATTCTTCCAAGTTCATCTTATTTCAAGGTCGCTATCAATTCTTGAAGAGAGAATCACTTCGCGTTTGGTTTGATTCCACTGAACAAATGCTCGAAGAAGAAGAAGAAGAAGACTGATGCTGAGTTCGTAGTGCTATCAACTACAATTTGTATTGGCATTTGATAGCTCTGTCGGTCACTCAAGAACATAAGATACATTGCCTTGGAGCCATTCTTGAGGTGTTCACCCACTGGATACAGTTGAAGGAGCTGTGACAATGCGATTGCAACTTACGTCGACAACAAGAGAAAGGGAAAGGGAAAGAGGGTGACTTACTTCTTTGATCGGATAGGCTGTCAGATGGATAAGGTGCACCATCTTGTATTTATTCTTTGGCATGGATGTGAGCACGACCAATCATGTCAAAGAAAGAAACTTCTTCCTACTTCGACCTCCGATTTCAAAGCAGACCAGACAACTCAGATAGTAATTAATCTAGGAGAGAATGGGACTTAGGATTAGGATTGGAGCAATATAATTTAACGGTACCATCCGATAGCTATCATACTGCATGGAATTAATATCGAAATGAACCTTACATGTCATATTAGACTCATCTTTGAATTATGACGACGACATGGTATGGGGAGAGATTATGATGTCTCAGGTTAGTGTCACATCAGAGAGGATAATTGAATTATTTTTTAGATATTTATTGGCTAATAAAATGATTATCGATTGACTAATATTATCCTTTATGATACTAAAAGTTGACGAGGTCGCAATGACATAAATCGAATAAGAGAAAGATGAATACAGCATTTATGGGATGACGATGATCTGAACTTTACGCTACTTTACTTCTCCATGCTGTGATTCCCTATTCTGTCATCCCTTCTGCCGAAAGCAATTTGCATCTGATAGTACTGTTCGTGGGATAAAGCGGCAGACGTGTGGCTTTCTCTTCGCATGTTCATTGCACTTAGTACTGTGACAACAGTTTGAGTACTTAGAAACTTGCCGAATGTATCTTCGAGTTCTGTACACCAAAGCTTCTTATATGTTAATACAAAGTCAAGTGCTGTGAGTTCTCTGAGATCAATAGAAGTACGTCTTCTCTTGAGTATTGTACGTGGAAATGAGAGGAGATCTATTTCGAATTGAAGTGCATGTGGTATGTTCCTTAGCAGAGAACTGCTACCGTACGAGAACAATGGAATGAAGCTTTCACAGTAATGAAGTGCATGTGAGTGTTTTCTTCGCAGGCCTTTTCTGATCATTGAGAGGACACCAACACTAATCTCTGTAATTTTTCATGTGTTTGGATAGAGTTGAAATCAAATAATAGTGTTATGTGTTGAGATTTGTAAGTAGAAAATCCAGAGAATTGAGGTCCAATTCTTCTATAATCACTAGGTTTGATTAAGGAATACTTTGGCTGCTTATAAGTTTCTCTCTAGAGTGTCTAGAGAGGATGTTCTCTAGGTTTACTAAAGAGGGTGAGAAAAAATATATAATTTTTTTGAGATTTATATGAGGGTATATAAAGAGATTGCGAGGATAATTCAAAAAGTATTACGATTTGATCTCACATGATAAAAATTTTAGTTTTGTTTATTGATGTAGACAAGAGATGAATGCATTAACACCTCAAAGAGATTTCCTATGGTGCTCGAATATCAATCTTAGATCGATGCAAAGCAAATAATTTACGAGCCAGAGACTTTAGCTTGAATTGTTGTCCCTCTCCTATTTATATAGATTAGAATGAAGAATTTTCCTCAATAGAATAGAGAGATTTCCCATGTAATTTGAAAAATCTTATTTGCTATTAGACAAGATATGACAGCATAAGTTTGGAACACTATATCAAATAAATGCACTGTCTGATGATCTAAACACAAGCAATCAACAATGTCTCTGGATGATTCTCTAAATATATTTTTCTTGTAACATAAAAAAATTTGATGGGAAGAGTTAATAAGAAAAATATCCTACGCATATATGCCCTATTTTCTTATCAGTTTTTTCACCAATTTTAAATTGTTATAGTGTCTGACTCATTTATAATAATTTGTTTAATAATATTATTTTTATTAAAGTACTGAAATCACGATTAAGTGTAATCATATTATGTCTTCATAGATCGGCATGGATATAATGCTTGGAGAACTATTTTCTCTAAGGCACTATCATTAGAATAAAAAATATATATTATTATCTTCAACTTATTTTTGGTTGTGGAGTAAGTAAGATAGATCACGCCAAAGTGTCAACGAGTTTGCAGCCTCACCACACGGGGTGGAAAGATAAGGGATCTCCTTAGCAGTTTCCAGTTTCATTCTCCTTTAAATGTATGACATATGATTTAACGATGCTAATAGATGTAGCGTTGCTTGAATCGATCGATGGTGGGACTCACAGAGTAAAGACTGATGGGCACGTACTCTTGAGCTTGTAGGAAGCTGCATGAAAACGTGGTTCTTTCTCAGCCACTGTATTAATTGGTTCGTTGTTAGGAACGTAATGTGAGTGAGATGGACATCCACCGCAAACAAATCCACATGACCCTTGGAATACGTCGAGACACCAATTTCTAGTCAACCGATGAGAGAACATAAGGATTAGGAGAGCACGGAGGAGAAGCGAGCAGTGTCGTTTGCATAGACACGTCGGCTGTTGCCAAGGTATTTATTGGGACCAGAAGAGTAGATAGATCGAGCGGCGGGGTTGCAAGCCATCATTAGTTTGAGGGACACGTTCACGTGCCACTGTCCCGTCTCGCTACGCGGTCGAAGGGGTCCAACGCCCGCACCCTGAGTCTCACACTGTGATAGCCGACACACGAAATAAAAGTCAAATACGATTTTGTAATATAGTCGAAATAAATTGGATAGTCGTAAGCCAAATTATCGGACACCAAGTTGGATTTGACCACATATTAGCGACACAAAGGCAATGTTACACGATAGATGACAAGATAAATGTTTTCAGCCTTCACGGGGAGGAATCCACATACAAAAGCTTACATGAAATCTCCATTAAGTCTGTCAGCACATACCACACATTATTTATCGCCTTAAGATGTGAATAGGACTTAATCTCCGCTTGCGCAGCCCCTGCAGCCACAGTGGACGCATTCTATCACTTTTTCTTCCCTCAGGTGCTTAGGGACCCTGCAGACACAGGTGGTTGCGAAATTGTGATCTCGTGTCTGCATGCACCTCAGGCAGCAGAGGCGCTCGTAACCTGGCTGCACAAACTCAAGACAAGGCATATGTCAAAGAGTGACCGAAGCATATAATAATCAAATGTACAAGGAAGGAGGCCACTATCAACCAAAAGGAACCTCACAAGAAAGAAAAAAAGAAAAAGAATATGGTCAAAGGCAAATAGGAAAACGTTGAAACTAATCCCATTCTACAAATGCACCATATATCAGCATTAAAAAGGTTCCCTTATGGAGTTTCATCTTCCAAGATACTATTAGTCCTCCAAGAACCCTAACAGTAGCTCTATTATTATTGGACAACATCCAAAATTTCCCCCATGTCAAGAAAGAGTTCTAAACATGGAAGTGAAGTAGGTGATGGTATGCAAATTTAACTTGCAGTACCAGTGCAACAAGCAGGTGATATCGATGGCCATGCATGTCAAAATTGAGATGGAGATAGGATCCACCCCTTCAGGTACCTCTATCAGTCAATTATATTGACAACCTCTTCCGTGTGTCGTTCATAATTTTCTATCCTGTCCAACTACAAACATCATGTATCCATGATACAAGCCAAACAAATAAAGATGTAAAAAATGTTGGCGATGTCTCTGTTAATACACGATACTGACCACCTCATCATGTTTCTAGCATATAATGGATTGCCACAAATGCAACCACAAAGCCCATCAACAAGCATTACACCTTCTCTTATCAGTAAATTAAAAACAGTATTAAGTGTTTCCTAGAGTGTTCACACCTATAACTGCTTATTGGTATATAACTCATCCCGTATAGTCAGGACTTTGACCAAAACCTAGTAGTGTGTTCATGCTATAATATTAAGTATGCCAGAGCATATTCATGCCCATAATTAGTTATTAGCATATACTCAGGTTTTTTATCACCACCAAGGTATTCACCAGTAAATTTGTTGTGGTTTTTCATAAAATAACAACATCCAGAATCCAGATAAACAGGACTTATAGCTACCATCATATATTCATGTAGTGATCTAGGACCAATTCATAAGTCCCCCTTTTCCTAAAAAGCTAAATGGAAAATTAATACAAGGGAACAAAAAACAAGGACAGGAAATTATTGACCAAACTTTCATGAATCATTGAAATTTCTTACAATTGTGAGATATAGAAGGAAACAACCCCAGACGACGGGACGAGTTAATTACAAGAGAACAGCATGGGTATTGTCACTTGAAAAAAAGAAAACTTAAAAATATAGGAAGCATTTTGAATAATGAAAGCATCACCAACCTTTTTCCACTTCGCAATTAAATTACGGTCTGCATAGCCCTGATCCAGGCAGAATTCATATAGTTCCTTCGAAATTTCCTTCCTCCGATGATAAAGATCATATATATAACGGCTCTTTTGATGAGCAATTCGAAAAATAGGCCAAAGTGCTTCACACTTTCTCTTCCCATCATGGGGATCATTTTCGGCTGAAACCAATGCAAATTTCTTCTTAAGATAAAACTGAAGCTTTCATGGTATAACAGAATATGTAGATGTAAACAGAGTATATGAGACAAAGTGTTCAACTAACCTTCCCTCATCTTTGCCTCGAGCTCTCGAAGAGTGGGCTCAATAAGCTCCCACCCCTCCGGATATTTAACACGGCTAGTCTTTATTTTCGGCATTTTTTTCAGAACTAAACTCTACTCTCTTCAATAACCAATTATCAACCAGTAAGCTGAAATGAAAGAAACAAAAAATTAGCAAGGCATTAGCAAATAAAAACACGCCCCAACTTTCAAAAAAGAAAAGCCTGCCCTGCATACAAAGTATCCAAAAACAGATCACTACCATAAGATTCTACTCTTTCCAACAAACAACTTCAGTATGATATGTTTTTCACATCAGACAACCACAGAGCATTTCAAAAACAATACTTACAAATAACAAAAACAAAATACGCATGTATGAACTCAACTTTGCTAAACGCATATAAGTATTAAATGGATAAGTCATTCATTTTGGCTTTACTGAACACAAAAAAACTAACTATTGAAGCATGATATCCTGCATATGCTCACATCAACAAGGAAAGACAAAGAAAATACTTACCAAAAAAAAAGACAAAGAAAATGCAATAAAAGAATTAATGCTGCATAAAAAAGGTCTCCAATACTTCCTTGCACTTAAAACAAAAACTAGTTGTTATAATTTCTTGTTTCCCTTGTAAGACCACATATCCATCTCAACATCCTTATCTTTACAATGCACTGTTTCCAAACCATTTAAAGAAGGAAGCAGGCAGGTGTTAAGATCGGCCAATGAGAAGTTCCTTTTCAGTTTAAAAGTGCTTTATAATGTAAACAATACATAATAAGCATTTCTTCAATTTAAGGCAGGTTTAGATTGCTAGATATAGGCAACATGAAGTAAACTTTCTAACACTGGCCAACTTTGAATTGTTTAGTTCAAAGAAGTCTGCTCAAAATTTTCTGTGACTTTTAAGTATGAAATTTATCAATTATGTCACAAATTTTTTACTTACGACCAGACCCTAGTATCCTAAACCACTTCATAACTTGGAGAATGACCTGGTAAGATATCATAAAAACAACAATGAGATGCAAATATTTGCAGAAGTATTTTTGTGTGTGCTCAAGTACCATAAGCCACCTAATATCTCTCCATATGTCAGCCCAAAATGAACCTTAATTTCTACAATGACATATTAGATAATTACATGAATCATTAGTCACCAAAGAAAGCATTTAATTAGTTATGTTGAATAAAACAAATTAAAAGAATATCTCATTAGATTACTAAAGAGTTAGTCGATAATCAAATTCAATCAACGACCTTAACCAAAAAGCATCTTATGACACCACTCTTCCAAATTATGTCCTTTTTAACTATCTCTATTATACCTAAAAAAGGCTAAAACATTTGCCCTCATAGATCTTTTTCCCATATTTCCAAGTAAAGAAAGTTCATGTTGAATTAAGATCCACCACATTGCATATCAGCAAGTTTTTCCTAGATTAACCAAACTAATTGTAAGCTTTAAACCAGCATGCATTACATAAATCTAAACATAGATTGACATTTGAAAGCTACAAGGTTCTCCTTCAAACATTATCAACATAAAACAACAATCTATTTTTAATTTTGCCTTTTCTTTTCTTTGGTCTTCCACTACCTGTTTTCTCAGAAACGAGAACAATAACAGGAACTTAAAAAAATTAAAGATATGCCAATAATAAGAACCTATAAGTGGTAAAAGGAAGAAGAAAATTGAACTATGTTGCTGGAATCAATAAATTGTTTCAACATCAAAGAAACATTGATGAGATAACTGCACAAAAAAAAATTTGTCATAGTAACTGAGATGGACGACATCCTGAGCCACATTAGACAAGATTAACTCCTACTTTTCATTCTGCAACAAAACACCATGTAACTTCATATTTCTAAACTTTCCATATTACCTTGATTCAGCCAGATTCTACTACGTCGTTACACGCAACTCGTGCCATTAACTACGGTAATTTCGAAGAAGAACATTATCCCTAACTTGTTCCGCCGAAATTCTGGGTCTCTCTCTCTCTC